CAGAAGGAAATGAAGCTATTGTTGGATATGTACAAAGGAGTCTCGAAGGATCAGCGCGATAAGGTTCAGCTGATGGCCACTGAGAAGAAGCTGCGTTCCGAGATCGAAGACCTGCGCCAGCAGTTAAAAAAGCTGCAGGAAAGCAAACGCGAGGAGCGAAAGAAGCTGGCAGACGAGGAGGCGTTACGTAAGATTAAGCAACTGGAGGAGCAGAAGTATGAGCTGCAGAAGCAGATGGCCAACCACAAGCCCTCGGATAATTCGTGGGGCAGTGGAGCACCTGGCACGGCAAACAACACGCGACCCTTTGTAGGCTCCCACGAGGAGGAGGCGTTGCTCAACGAGATGGAGGTGACTGGGCAGGCTTTCGAGGATATGCAGGAGCAGAACTCACGACTAATACAACAGTTGCGCGAAAAGGACGATGCCAATTTTAAGCTAATGTCGGAGCGCATCAAAGCCAACCAGTTACACAAGCTTCTGCGCGAAGAAAAGACGGTGCTGGAGGATCAGATGGCCACGGCTACCACGCAGATCGAGGCGATGCACATCGTTCTTCGAAAGCTCGAGGAGAAAGAGCGCAGTCTACAGGCCACCGTGGCCTCCATTGAGAAGGAACTGATGCTGCGCCAGCAGGCCATGGAGATGCACAAGCGTAAGGCGATCGAATCCGCCCAGTCAGCTGCAGACCTCAAACTGCATCTTGAAAAGTATCACGCGCAGATGAAGGAGGCGCAGCAGGTGGTGGCCGAGAAGACTAGCTCGCTGGAGGCAGAGGCATACAAGACCAAGCGGCTGCAGGAAGAGCTGGCGCAGTTTAAACGCAAGGCGGAGCGCATGAAGAAGATGGAGATGTCGGGCACCACCATCGACGAGGTGATGATCGAGGAGATCCGCGAGTACAAGGAAACGCTCACGTGTCCCTCGTGCAAGGTGAAGCGGAAGGACGCGGTGCTGTCAAAATGTTTCCACGTCTTCTGCTACGATTGCCTGCGAACGCGGTATGAAACGCGGCAGAGAAAGTGTCCCAAATGCAACTGCGCCTTTGGCGCCAACGATTATCATAGGCTATATCTGCAGTAGATAAGCGATAGACCCCCATAACGTTAATTTAGATACGTTCCGGTCATGTCCTATTCACACACAAAAACACACCACTCCCACACACCCAAGCAGAGACAGTCACACACATTCATGCCGGATTATTCATTATGCATATATTACCTACGTACTAATATTTGTTTAAGTAGTCTCCAAATAACTCCCCAGATTCCCCATGGCAATTATTTGAATTTGTTCATTCTTGCGCCAAGCAAAAGCATCTCATTATGAGTGCCGCGTGACCATGTCGCGGTTTTTTATGTAGCTTCTAGTTTTTGTAAATCAAACTCTATTTTTAAATGATTAAATTGAAAACTAAATGTACGAACACTAATAAATGGCTAAAAACTATATATTTAGCGTACCAAAAGTTATTCTCATCCCCAAAACCAGTATCGGTTCTCTGTCTTCAATTAATTTACATTTATGTTAAGTATATTTATACAAGCCCCTATAATTCTTAAGTAATCTACTCCTATTGTAATGATCAAACGTAGCATAGATATCAACTGTAAAAACATGTCGGAGAATCCGTTTAAGTGTCGCGCTTTACTTACAAGGGCTGCTAACTTGGTTATAATTTATACATAATTGTAATAACCTATGATCGGAAATTGTTGTTCAGCTGAGCAGAATATTTTGATTGTTTTTTTTTGTGTGTAAGTGTAATCGTTTATTCTGTGTACTGTTTCATGAATAAAGAAACTTTTGATCAGACTTTGTTACTTTGATCCTCTGTTATCTGTCAACATAAAATCCACCTGTTAACGTTTCGGTACCCACGAATTGATGTTAACAGCGATGTTTATCTTTATCATGTTATTTTTGGCGCGCTTTAGCTTATCGGATTTTAAAAACCTCATATCGTATTTTTTTTCTCTCTTAAATTTTTTTTTTTATTTTTTCAAAGAAGTTGTTCAAAATACGAAGTTTTTAGGTCTGAGTTAAAACGTTTATACGTAGTGTTGGATTTCATGGAAAATTATATTTACAAGCCTACAAAGACTTGATTTGAGAATACATATAATTCGCATTGACGACCTGTTTTTATAGCTTCCTTTGCTTGTCTAATCAAAATATTTTCAAATTTAAATTGGTAAAAAAATTATAGAAAATATCCACCTTTACTTAAGTTGTTTAAGCTTTGGCCTCCAATTTTAACGTGTTCGTTGATTTTTCATTGAACTTTTGCTCGCATTTTTATCGAAAATAAAACGGAAATTTGAAGCTAAATTCAGTGTAAGCGAACCCAGTTAGGTACAAATTGGACAGAACAGCCCAGTTGGCCGGCCTACAGCAATTAAGCTACCTAGTATTTATTACAATAGTGTAGCTCAGGAGCAGCGACATTGTCTTGTGCAATTATAATTAAAACCATTGACGCAATTTGGTGACTAAAAGTAAGCCAAGAAGTTATTTGCCTTGGGCAGGTGCTCGTGCTCACTGCGCGAGTATCAACAAAATGTTTACTGCGTATTGGGCAAATATGTTTCGGCGCTCGTACAGCCCCCTCATCGATGCCCTAAAATGGCTAAGATAATAAATTATGTTCTGTAAATCACCAAAAATGATATGCAAATTTTTGCGGCCATTTTCGGTGGATCAAGAAAGACTTGCGTATTGCCAGCAGCCAGAAAGAGAATGTATGGATAGATGCTAGGGTCATTTTCAAACTTATAATTAAGCCGTGTCGCTGACTTTTTTCGTCTTTAATTATGGCTAAAGCCAAAATCACAAAAGCTCCGTAAAATCTGGTGGGCAGTCATGTGTTTGACTATGTTTCGAAAAACGCTTCCCCTTCCAGCCATTCGAGATTTACCCAACCCAAAGTACCCCCCACCGTTTCACAGAAATTGCGAATTATTTCGTCTGCTTTGCGCCATGTAATGTGTTTATTAAAAATTATTATTATTGTTCGCATCGAGAGGCGGCGGCATCTTTATGGCCAGGCTACCAGCTGATGTGGAGCAATTGGACGGGTTGACGGGCTTTTGGGGCATCTTTGCCGTAAACTCGTTATGCGGCAAGCCAGGTTTAAAAAAAGAAACGAAAATGAAAAAATAAATGTAAAAAAAGAGTCGGAAACTAAAATCGTGCCAGCGATGAGTGAGCACATTACACCAAGCACTTGGCGAAGCAAGTACGGTTATTACCAACATAACAAATGTGTTTAAAATGTGGCTGGTTTGGTGGAGTAGGTCAATCCGTTGGCTCTGGTCAGGGACAATGGCGAAGGTTATGGGTGCAATCGGGGGAATAACCGGGTCGTAAGGCAGACACGGAAGTCTGAAAGCTGAGAATAATTGATTTAAATACCTTTTAACTACAAAACAAAAGTTCCCCCATTATTACATTTAGATTGGTTAATGTAATGAGGTAAGAGAAAGACATACCTCGAAACCATTCTGGTTTTAATTAAGTCGAATAACACCAAATCGTATGAAATATTATACGTTCCCCATCCCAGTTCATTCAGTAATATCAGCTGCTATAAAAATCCAGGATTTCAATGCAAATCGTTAGGAAATTATAACACAAACTCATATAAAGTGAACAGTTTTAAAACAATGGTTTTTTATAGGGCATTACTTACTTTATGTTTTTTAGCTTTTAAGTTTTGCTTGGATAATTTTTAATTATTTTTAAAAATAGATAAAAATATGCATCTTTATGTTATACTCGTGACTTTATGCTTCTCCAGAGTTTTCCTAAGTTAAATCCTGATGCCATAGGCCACTTAAAAATTGCCATCAAGGTTGCAAAGGGACTACACTCTCAAATGACCTTCTGTCAGCCATCAATGAACCAAATTGTCATTAAGACAGGGCTCATAACAAGATCAACATTAATTATCATCGAACAAAGACATTTTCACACTGCAGTATAATGATATGTTTAGCACTCGGGCGTGCCCACCTATCCAATCACCCCTTGATTGCTCCCCGCCCACGGGCGAACGGAAACGAATCATTAGATTAGCATGCAGACGATCGTAACTCAATGGATGCCGATCATTGGACCTACGCCCTTCGGGTTGGGAAATGTCCAAATACCGAAATACCCAAGCCCACGTCACGGCCCTGGGTCCAAACAGTCGAAAATGTCAAAAGGGCCAACGCATTTCCCAGCCGTAAACTGCAGTCGCAATTCGAATTGGAACTGGAGAGCTGGGCAAATATCACCATCAGATGACGTAGCCGCCGGGTGATCATTAGGTGTTTGGCTATTAGCAATGGCGACAGCATCATTACCATGGGGGATTGCATTTTCAAGGTTGGCGACCGACCGACCATTCGAGCATTCTCGCTTCACTGCCACCTGGACTCGGGCCATGAAAATGCAAATTTTTTCAGTTCCCCGTGAGCAATGTTTTTCAATAAACCTAATGAGTAAAATAGGCATGAAAAGGCAAAAAAAAAACAATAATGTGGGCTTATATATGGGGGGGAGGTGGGAAGTGTAAGTGCTGGAGAGAAAAGTCGAAAAGTCGAAAATGAACCGCTAGCGAACCTGATTTACAGCCACTGGCCAAGTGACCAACTGACTGACTGCCATTGCTTAACAACAGCAACTCTTTAATACTTTATGGCTACCTTTGATGGCTGGGATCAGGCTCTGGCTCTGGCTCTCCTCTCCTCAAAATCTGGCCAAAAGGTTCGTGTACTTCGTACTTTCGGTTTCGGTTGGCCAAAAACTTGTTCACTCCATGCAGCAGCAGCAGCAGCAGCAGCAGAAGTAGTAGGAGCATTTACCAACCGAACAAACCGATCAGATTGCATTCGAATCCCGCTCAGACGCTCGGCTATAGCGTTTATGTGTCTGTGTGGGCATTATATAATCCAGTTAATTTCTTTAACAATTTTTGTTTCTCCTCGCTTTTCGTTGTTTTACTAGACGAGAGGCCTCTCCAGCCAGCGTCATTCGTTGTTTGGACCCCGCGTTGTTTGGACGTACATTTCAATCGGCGCGTCGTCTCTCGAAGATCGTCTGACATTGCTATCTTGAAGATACTTTTGTCACAGCTCAAGACCCAAAATCAAGGATTGCGAAACGGGCGTTTGGCATTGCTCATACGCAGCGTGTGACGTGCTATCAAAATAAAAGGAATCTAAAAAAAAGTGTAAGTGCTAAAGTGTGTGTGATAGTGATAAGCTTAGGGATTCAATAATAATCCCTAAAAGGATATATTATAATTCATAACAAAACTACTATAACTAAAAGGATTAAAAAACAACGATGATATAAAATGATAAACCTATTTGAGAATATAATCATTTTATTACAAAATTAAACTCCAAGCCCTTACAAAAAATATTAAAAGTTCAGTACAATTTAAGAATATACTAATTTTTTTTAAATTTAATTTAAAATATTTATAAAAGGGTCTTATAATTGAAGAACCAAATTTGTATGTCTTAGAAATTTTTAACAGAGTGGTTGCAAACTAAAAAGGTAAACAAACCTCCAAATTTGTTATTTTTATTGATTTTATTTAAGTTTAAAATTTGTTAGGTACTTGGAAGACGGTTAGAATTCAAATCAGCACTTAACCACTAAATCAAATGAGTTTTTCATACGGAATTTCAATCAAAAAGCAATCAACAACTGAAAGATAACTCAAAACCAAATTAACCTTTAATAAAAAATTAACTTCTGTAAAATCAATCAGCCAAGAGAATATGAGGCTGAGGAATTACCAAATAAGCCACGATTGCACCGCCTGTTGCATTATTGGCCAGTTAGCCACACAAAAGCCACGCAAGCCACAACGAGCTCCTAATAAACATGTTGAAACCTCAGGTGAAAGAGAGGGGTAGATGGCGTGTGAAAGAGATGGCGAGAGGGATCCAACGGGCGCATTGCCCAATGACATTTTGAAATCGCATTTCCAGTTGGGGGAAAACCGACAAAACGAAAATTGAAAAACCGACAAAAATTCGACACCGAAAGCGAATGCAAATTTTTGAACGAAAAGAAATTAATTAAATGGCACAGAGTTCGCAACGAATCGAAGTCATATGCAAATGGGTCGTTGTCGGTGTCATGGGAAAACGGATTTCGGTTATCGGGGTTTTACAGCGAATGAGCGAATGACAAAGGGCACATCGGCAATAAAACAATAAAGTCGATCCGCAGCTCGTCGGATCACAAATTGTGTGCAAATATTGGGATAAAGCTGAGCATGTTAGTGCATCCCATGATGGCACTTTGTTTATCCGGCCAGTCAAACAAAGTGGCTCCAAAATAGGGGGCATTGTTCAGCCGCTTTCCTCCACTCTTTCTTTATTTTCCTCCCTCAGAGATTATGCAACAAGCTGAAATCGGGCAAACAGTGAAACTCTTTCTTGTACTGGCTAATTATTAACATTTTTGTTGTACTTTCAATAACCATTTTTTGACCCGCTTTCGGTAAACAGTTTTGAACTTGAACTAATTCCCCGCTGTGGTTTTGCTTTTTTAGCCTTTTTGCCATATTTTATATGTGGCCATAATGCTATTTGTCGGTTTATGGGTCTCCCATATAACAAAGAAGTGAATAATTTATACACTTTTTCATTTCGTCGCTTTCGAGTTCGCTGAAAACGTATTGTCCATTTGCATTTGGTCGGGTGTTTTAACAAATACGCGTTTCTTGTGAGTTTTAATTAGCAAATATTTGCAAATTACAGCGATCCGGTGGCGTTCGCCTTGAGATCGCTGGGACCTTGAACCAATTTCGATGGGAAGACCATTAATAATTCCTATAGATATTATAAAAAATTATAAAACAATATTTTTTTTTCTTGGTGATAGAAGGAAGCAAGACAAATCTTTTAGTTTATTAGATGAACAAATGTTCCAAATTTATTATCGCTTAGGTAAAACCTATTCTACTTAATGTTTTTCTTAATATACTTTTAATATTTTAAATACTAAAGAAATTTAACAACAAATAAAAACCATATTGAAATATTTTTAAAATGTTTTTAAATGTATACTTTGTGCGTAAAGAGCTAAATAAGCTGGTATTTGAATTAATTCAAATATCTCAAAAAATGTACTTAAAGTATTAAACAAATTTTTGTTAAATATATTTTGTAAGACTTGATAAAACATATATGTATTAATCATACAACTCGCTTATAAAAACCCCCTACTGAGCACTCCCCTTCTTATCTCTTCTTTGTAGTGACCGCAATCCAAGCTATTTGTTTGACCGCAGAGAACTCACCTCATACCCCAGACTAGCAACTGATGAAGGAAACGAAGATGGTGCAGGATCAGGGAGAAACTGCATCCCTGCCAGAGGCGCTCCTGAAGATCGCCAAGCGGGAGTTGCGCGAGGATCGGTGCACCCGGGAGCAGAGTCTGGAGCAGCTGCGGAATTGGGTGGCCAAGAACGAGGATCTGCAGAATGTGCGATGCGACGATACCTTCCTGCTGCGCTTCCTGCGGGCCAAGAAGTTCAGTGTTCCCATGGCGGAGCAGACGCTACTCAAGTACCTGAACATACGACGCACATTCCCACACATGAGCACCCAGTTGGACTATCTGGAGCCGCGATTGGGCGACCTCATCGATCAGGGATACATCTTTGCCGTGCCGCAGCGGGATAAGCACGGTCGCCGGGTGGTGGTCATCAATGCCAAGGGCCTCAATCCGAAAATCCACACCAGCTGCGACCAGGCAAAGGCGCACTTCCTCACGTACGAGTGTCTGATGGAGGACCAGGAGACCCAGATCACGGGGCTGACGCACGTGGGTGACTTTGCAGGTGTCTCCACGGCACACGTGACCAACTGGAATCCCACGGAGTTTGCCCGCATCTTCAAGTGGGGCGAACAGTCGCTGCCCATGCGCCACAAGGAGATCCACCTTATCAATGTGCCCTCCACGCTGAAATGGCTCATCGACTTCGTAAAGAACCGAGTCAGTTCCAAGATGAAGCAGCGCCTGATCATCTACGGCAGCGAGAAGGAGCTGATGAAGTGCGTGGATCAGGGCTGTCTGCCATTGGAGATGGGTGGCACCGTGCCCATGCGTGAGATGATCGAGCTGTGGAAACAGGAGCTGGCGGGCAAGCGGGATTTGATACTCGGCCTGGACAAGAGTATCCTGCTCTCGGATCGCGGCATCCAGCGAAGGAGCAGTTTCAACGCGGAAAAGGCCTCCACCGGCGGACCAAACTTCGTCTCACAAATCGAGTCCATCGAGGGCAGCTTTCGGAAGCTGGAGTTCGACTAGCCGATCCAGTTCTAGTTCTAGTTTTAAGTCCTTAGTCCTAGGCATCATCCGTTAACCCAATGCGCAACGCTTTGCCGGTCCCCCGATCCCGGCCAGATCCGATCCCGGGGATCCCCGCTTCGCTTATCGGTGGCACCCGCTTTACTCATCCTGCGCTTCTTTGTATACTGTTTGTGTTTGGCGTACAATAAACGAGAGGAATTATTTGGAACCATTGGCTTGATTCACTTCATCCTACGAGGGCTGGTGTAGCGTGGCCAGTGCATTAGCTCCCGCTGCAGTGCCTCCGCATTGTTGGCCAGAACAAATAGTTTGTACTCCGGTTGCAGTTTCTTGCGTTTTACGGATTCGAGGATCAGAGCCTGGGCCGCCTTCAATTGGCAATCCTTGGGCGGATTCCGACTGAAGTTTCCCACGAAGGCAATAACCAGGGAACTATTTCCCGACAGATCCTTCAAGAAATTGCTCTCATACTCCCAACCATATACCTTGAATACCTGACAGTCGCCGGTGACCAGGAAGTTGTATGGTAGTTCCTCCAAAGAGGAACTCTAAGAGAGTGGATGGGTTATTACCTCGAGTTAATATAATTCCAATCAACTCACCTGCAGCTTGCGTAATACCTCCGGGCAATCCTCATTGCATTCCTCACTCTCCGTGTGGGTAAATAACACGGCCTTGAGCGGATCCAATGGAGTTCCCTGACCCTGAAGATCCATTTCCGACCATATATCATGCTCAATGAGACTGAGCCGATATCCAAAGTCCGGCATTTGGGCTGCAAGCAATGCAAAGTGATTCAGTCTTTTAATTTCTTTGTCAACCTATAACACAAAATACAAAAAATTAAGGAGTGAATCATATGGCTATATTTAGAAACTTCAAATAAAATCCAATCGCACATTTGTTTTAAATAACATTTTTTAAATTCTTCAAATATAACTCATTAATGTAGATAAGAACTTTTATTAAGCGATAATAATTTTTGAATCTTAAAAAACATTTACTTCTAAAACTCACAAATTTTTGTATTATTGTTTTGTGTTTTTTATAAATTTAATTAAAACGAATAATATCAAAAATTATATACACAAATTCTTTAAAAAATAGTACAACAGACATGTTTAAATAAAAATAAGTTTTATCTACTTAATATTATTGTCTATAGAAATTTTTTTATTAAAATTTCTCAAATACTAATTAATTGAAATATTAACAACATTTTTGGGAAAATCTACGAGTGCTTGATATTGACCACTTCCGCCTGCCCACAAAAACTCACATGTTCAGCTTATCATAAGTCACAGCTTCATAATCCAGATTTATTTCAATAAAAACAAATTGAGCACATACTCGTGCACCCTATGGCCTCCATCAGCTGGAAAACTCACTTTCTCTCCAGAGTAAATACACGGCCAATCCCAGGGCGGCCGCGCACATGACCAGGAACACCACAGATTGCCAATTTAAGCAGTCTTTCGTGAGGATCGGGTTTCCGGGGCAGGGCGAGGATGAGAAGGCTGCGGAGGATGTGGGCGACTTGTTGGACCTCTGAGTAGCCGCCAGCAAGGGAGTGGATTCGCTGACTCCGCAATCCTCGTCGACGCGAATGTGTATATCTTCAGTTGATTCCAAACTGCCATATGAAGACTGGGAAACTCCAGCGGGGGAGGCACTACGTCCTATCGTAGCGAAATATAGAGCAAAAACCATATAATTTAGCTTAGCAAAGATAAAAGTGTGCAGATGATTAGTCAATTGGCACAGATTGTCCAGGCCACTGTGTTCTTGGTGGGCATAGTATTTGTTGATCGCACGCAGACTATGGGCGCTCACGAAGATCGGCATCTTGCCACTTACTGGGGTCGTATTCAACCAAGAAAATGCTAATATATCTCACCACTTGAGCTATCTTATCAAGGCTTATCTATCTTCAAACTTACCCATTCGCACGGCTATGTGGCTGGAGTCCATGGCCAAACTGATCTTGCTGCAGCCTCGGCAGCAAGGTGGTGCTGTGGAGTGGAGTGGGTCAGCCCCGTACTGGATCGCACTGGAAAGCACCACTTGATCGGCGAATCGACGCTGGCAACCAGTGCCAGCAGAATGCATAAAACGACTGAGACGAGAACAAGGGAGAGAGCCCGCATGGAGCAAAACATTTCCGTAAATCACCAGCTGGAGGTTTCAAGCCGTCTCTTATCGAATACACTCTTACGTTCTCTTAGCTTAAGAACAACTTTAAAGCCCGCCTGGAGTAACATTCGCATTGCGTTTATTTGCCATCCGCTTTCTCATATTTTCAACTAGATTCTAATAACAATCATAAATGGGTTTTTGTTTTATACACAGAAGTTGGCTTTGCTTAATTTACAGTGCTTGCTCAGGAGGCGAGGTCGCTCCTTCCTTAAGACTAACTTAGGCCTTTGAACCGTATTATGTTATGAGCATGCTTTCCAGTCCAAGTGGCGGCCACAAAACACTGATATGGACACAGGACACTGGACAGAGACTTGGCTGAGACTTGCAACCATTTTAAAATTTCACGAAAGACAAGACAGTAAGTTAAAATCGTTCGAAAATCTAAAAGAAATGCATTCGCTTAGGTGCCTAGACTAAACTTATAAGGTATAACGCCTCCGCAGGGAAGTGGCCCAATCCAGCAGCTGCCCATTTTAGGGGTTCCGTTGCATCCTTTATTTGTAGGACCTCCAGATTTGCCAGGCGCACAGGGCAGCCGAGAGGAAGGATACTCCGCGGTGCAAGTATTTTGTTTTGGAGTTGGACGAGTAGCCCAGGATCACAGGCGAGGATACATCTGTTAGCGGCAGTTTCTCCAGCACGGTGTCGTTGTTTTCCACCTATTAACAGAAGCAGGAATGAGTTATTGACCTGGGACTCAGGGGAAGACTTATTTCAGACCTGATATTGACAACAAGGATCATAGTTCCAGGACACCGTGTAGAGTCCTGTGCAAAAGAGAGATAGGGCACAAGCGGGAGCTGCAATGATGGGACGATCCCGCCACAGCAAACTGGCCACCAAAGATACCACTCCAGTGGCCACGGCTGTCTTGTGCAGGCAGTTGCCCACCCAGATCCATCGACCTGTCCAAATTAGATGAGTGATATTTTCATAATTATTATAAAATGATTTGTATATGCTTAAACTAAATCTAAATAATTTATTCAAATTAATTATTTATTTATATTATTTACACACACACATTTCATTTGGGCTTAAAAATCGTTTTGAATTTCAAACCATTTTTAGAGGGTTTCTATGTCAGTCAATTTTGATCAGATCGACTTGGAATTCAAGGAATGTAATGTAATTTAGTTAAGCTTCAAAAAATTTAAGGTGTGATTAATGTTTTTTCGCAACCGTCTCCTAGGCCTCACCAGTTTCGTCGCCTAGGCGCGGTGGCTCTATAATGATGAAGTCCACCTTGGCCTCCAGTGCCTTGTCCAGTTCCGCCTCGAATCTTTCATGAGCATTGGAACTGTCGTATACCTCGCGGATAACATGGAAAGTGGGCACTTTACTCGTGCTGCAGAAGAGGAAAATATATATAAATGGAAGCCATTAATCACGTCTATCTTGACCTGGACTTCCAAGGTTAAGGTCGAGATTAAGCCTCCTTGGAAAACCATTGTCCGGCGGAGATAATAAAGAAGCCGCCTGCTAAATTGCATAACCAAAACAGGTCCACTCGAAGATCTGGGTTGCGGTTGCACCCACAGGGAGAGCTCGTTGCGTAATTTCGACTGCATTATTACCGGATAATTACCAATATTTACCTTTCTATGTTTCTGCTAACCATTTTGCTAATAAATTTTTTTGTTTTTTATTTTGTTAAGAAACGCAGTGCGGCCGCAGTTGGACCGTTAAAATATACCAAGAATCGGTTAAAATTATACTAAAATATACCAAGCTAAAAACCCGTGCAAGGAGGTTTCTACTAAAAAACTGAATTATTAAATAAAGAAATGGTTAGGGTATTCCCAATTAAATTTTGGAAAATTTACGGACTTGAAATGTTTTCTCTCGAATTGCGTGTCTCATAAATTGTACAATTGTTTTAGTTACCCATGTATGTATGTACTTAATTATATTCCACAATTTGAAAACAGATTATATAATGCGTTTTGCAGAATAGCTGAAATCCCATAATTTATATAAAATTTTAAATGTATTTATATTTTTAAAAAGGCATCAATATCTCGAGGTTTATGCGTATGTCTTGAAAGACATATAATTTCGGACAGGAAATATATGTTTTATTAAACAATCAAAAATATTAAACTCAAGGATAATCAAAATCAGATTGATCAGATTCTTCATTGTCAGTAAAAAAATCTACTTGATATGTGTCATCAGCGCCAAAATAAGTTCTGTATGGATAAGAGACGTTCAAGTATGCCTCGTCAATGGGTTCTACCTGCAAGAAGAACATTTTTAGCAGCGAAAAGGTTATGTCATTATATCAATAATGCTTACATGGAATCTCGGAAAAAACGAATATACATCTAAAACAATGTTTAAAGGTTTCTGTAGTGCAGGATTTCTTATAGATTTTAAAATGGAATAAACTTCGTGTACAAAGTTTGATTTCACTCTTGCACCTAAACGGTATTTGAATGTGGCTATATCGAGCTTTTGACAAAATTTAATAATAAGCAACAAGCTATCGCTATCTATGGTGAATGTTGAATCACGTTGAGCTATACGCAATGATTTAAGTTCGTTAAGTTGAGCCAGGTCTGCTAGGTTATTACTTTCACCCATGTATTCAATATTTAGTGTGATTAACGATTTAATTTGTGATATTTCACGGATCTCATCCGAACTTTTAATTGGCGCATGCAGTTCTTGTAATATAGACACATTTTTAAGAGCAAAAGCCCGATAAAGGCCACAAAGTGAGTCTACTGTTTTATAGATGGTTAATTTCTGCAGATTTTGTATATTTGCCAAAACGTTTATACCAGGATCATTGGCTAGTGAGCATGCTAAAGATTTCAATTTCTCGAGCTCAACCAAATATTTACATTCATCAAAGCCAATCTCGTATTTTATATCCAATATCTGAAGATTAAGTAGTGATTTGAGAGCCAAGGCATTAGCTGATTTTTTAAAAATATTTTCTTTATCAAAATAACGGTTTTCTATTTTAAGAAACTCAAGGTGTGGAAATTTATCTATTGACGCACATTCCGAATTAAGAAACCCACCACTTAATATTTTTAGACCTTTTATTTTCGAAATTTCAGTTTTTCCCGAGATGTCAAGATTTACTATTTGCAGGTTATTAAGTCTAGTTTTACTATTTAAGGAAAATGCAGCAATAAGGTTATTTAGGGGTTCAGTACGTGAGAAACAATATAATTCTTCAATACTCGAGCTAGCTAGCTCCGACAAGGATTTTAAATCTTCCAAGTTTGAAAAGTCGCATGCCAGTTTTTTTAGCGACCTTATTTGGGAAATCTTTGTAAGCTCTTCGGGAATAAGTTTGTTATAAGATTGAATGCATTGAATTATATTCCTCTCAGCAAGTTTTGCGAAAAGAGCGTCTAGGGATCCCTTTCCAGAAAATGTTAACATTCTGAGATTATTTAATTCAGCCAGTATTTCAATTCCAGTTAAATCTTCGATGTAGCACGCCAGTTCCTTAATGGTTTGAATTTCTGCAACCTTAAAAATATCTTTAAAACAATTTTTTCCGAATACGCTAAGACGCAATTCTTCAATGGTACTTAAATTGCTGGTGGCGAATGCTTCGAAGAGTGGATTAAGTGGTCCAGTAGATTTGTAAACGTCGATCCTGAGGGTATTTACTCCCGTAAGTTGGGCAAGGGGTGTCAAATCTCCCACAAACGTACTATCTATATAAATCTCCATTTTTTTTTCATTCTTCTTTAAGGAAATACGAAAATCCTCGCCAATTATGGAAGCTTGCACCTGACATACAGTTAGCAATTTAACGATTAGCTTTAAAGTATTCGAATTAGTCTTCTCACGGACATTTAATAGTAGGTGTTGCAGGTTAGGTAATTGACTGAAAAACTTGATTGAATTCCAATCGGATAAATGACACCCCAGAAATCGAATTGATTCTATTTTTGCAAGTTCTGAGGCCTCTAATTGATTAATTGATCCATAAGTTATTTTGGAGGATTTTAAAGCAAATGACCCCTTTGGTGCCATTGATCGAAGGAATTTCGCAATTGTATTAGGAAAGTCTGTGTGTCTACATTTATTATGTATGACCAAGCGAATGAGATTGGGTAGCTTTGATAAGGAACCCATTTGGCTAATGTCCGATTCAGGATGTATCTTTAACTCAAGTTTTCCAGTAATCCAGTCAAAACTTATTTTGATATCATGAGCTAGAGTTATGGTCGCGAGAGAATCCTCCACTTTTTCGCTTTCCCTCAATATTTCACTTAAATCGTAATTGATCTTAATTAATACATTACGATTATCATAATAAGCTGGGTAATTCGGTTGTGTGCTTATGTGCAAATATCGCAATGAATCAAAAGTCGCTAAAGTAATAGGCTTACTTATATCTTTTAGACAATCTTCGATGGTCACTGTCAAAGGTAGCATACTTTTTGGTCTGTGCCATTTTCTTAATTCATCAAAAAATAGCGATTGCGAACCACTTTCTTGGATTCCACTAATAACAAAAGTTTTTAAATTGGGCAGCAATACCAGCGGTGCATATGGGGCAGCACAACCTCCCTGGCTCACCCTAATTCTCAGTTCCTCTAGATTTTCGCAATGGGGTGCTATAATGGAAAAGGTTCCATTAATTGTACTGCCTTCAAATGTCAACTTTCTTAAATTTGGGTTCGAGATGCAGATGTCGGATAACACTTCTGTAGTAATGTTACCATTTAACGTTAACGCCTCGGTGATTGCAAGATCCGATGAGATTTCTTGAAATAAAATGACGTTATTAAATAAGGCTAATAGGATAATCTGAAAAGCTCAGTGGAGGCAACCATTGAGGTAACCAAAGAATGCATTCAATAAACTTTTGCATCAAACGAATGTTAAAATTAAAATTGTTTATCAGGACTTACTTTTTATACTAATGTTTGATTCCTCGTTAGAATGATTCCTCTTTTCTTCAAGATATTCACAATATAATTCAGGATAACCATTTAACGTTAACGCCTCGGTGATTGCAAGATCCGATGAGATTTCTTGAAATAAAATGACGTTATTAAATTAGGCTAATAGGATAATCTGAAAAGCTCAGTGGAGGCAACCATTGAGGTAACCAAAGAATGCATTCAATAAACTTTTGCATCAAACGAATGTTAAAATTAAAATTGTTTATCAGGACTTACTTTTTATACTAATGTTTGATTTCTCATTAGAATGATTCCTCTTTTCTTTAAGATATCCAAAAGATAATTCAAGATTGAAAGGACTGTTTTCTCTGACAGATTGTAGGTAGGAGCTCCAGCAACATTCCCTTCCGCTTGATATCTTATTGATTCGCTGTTCTATTAGTAGCTTTATGATCTTGCACGCGATAGCCATTTCCAAATCGTCGTACAGTCGTTTGTAATGAACTTCAAGCAACTCAAGGAAGAATTCATGGGCCAACACAAAGTGGATTAAATCACCAAAACTTGAAGAGTCATTCTTGACATTTTTGGCTTTCGACTTGCAATCAGTAATCACGTAATTCATTATCTCCAAGAGGCAGTCGGGGCTAAGAATAAATTCGCCATTTTCGTCCATTTTTTTGACTGATCAATGGCTTTAGTAAGCTTTTTAAAAGATTCGCTTAAATATTGATAATAAAAGTTGGATTAGTTACTTATGTTATTTATGTTTGACCAAGTTTACTTTTATCCCTCAATTTAATAACAGTATACACAAGTCGTTTTGTGGAATTGCTGAAATTGTTGTAAATAAATTCGGCAAACCGACGTTTATATTTAAAATTGGTTTTTGTATCCCTTTGATTTCCATTAAAAGGAAAATGTATTTTAAATATTATTAAAAGCATCAGTATCTGGAGTTATACGCGTATATGTGGAAAGAAAACGAAGTTACCCCGATATTTCAGATATTTTCCTATTAATTTGCCATTACCTACTTAAGCAACGTTCAATAGAAAGAAGAGTTTTAGAAAAGTTTTATTAAATTAAAATATATTTATGACTTCGAGAAAGGAATATTAAACAATTAAATTATTTTATTTAAGGATACTCAAAATCAGAGTCATCAAAAAAAATCTATTTCATATTTCATTACTCATTATGGCCCATTTTCAAACTTTATTAAACAATCTAATAATACCAATCAACATCATAGGAATCAGAGTCGTCAGATTCTGCACCATCAGACATAAAATCTAAAATTTCATCTGGGTATTCGGTGTCGTATGAATAGAAAACGTTCAAGTATGAGTCATCAATGTCTTCTACCTGCAAGAAGAAAATACTTAATGTCCAAACTGTTGTGTGATTATTTTATTATTTACATGAAATTTCGGAAAAACTGATGTTTCACATAGAGTAAGTTGCAAGGGTTTCTGAAGTAGAGGATCCCTTATAGATTTCAAAATGGTGTTAGCTTTGCTCACAAATTTTACCGCCACTTTTAGTCCTCTTATAAATTCTAATGTGACGCAATCGAGTTTTTGACAAAATTGAATAATCGGCAATAAGCTGTCGCTATCTACACTGCATTTTGCAGCTATACGCAATGATTTAAGTTCGTTAAGTTGACCTAGGTCTGATAAGTTATCACATATACCCTCGTAGTTAATATCTAGTACTGTTAATGATTTAATTTTCGATATTTCACGGATTTCTTCAGAATATCTAATAGGTATATGCAGTTCTCTTAGCTTTGACTCACTTCCAAGACCAAAAGCTCGGTAAAGTCTACAAAGCGAATCCTCTGCTCTATAAATGATTAATTCTTTTAGATTTTTCATTTTTGCCAGAACTTCAATTCCTGGATCTTTGCATAATGAGCACTTTAAAGATTCCAGTTTTTCAAGCTCAACTAAATGTTTACATTCGAGCAAGCCAATCTCGTTTTTTATCTCCAATTTCTGAAGCCTAGGTAGTGATTTAAGTGCCACAACATTCAATACATTGATTTCCAAATGCTCCAGATTTATTAAACGATCTAACAGTTGCGCACCATTTGAATCAAAGAATCCAAGTAATTTTTTTAGACCTTTTATTTTAGAAACTTCAGCTATTTCAGTAAAGTCAAGAGCTTTGCCTATAACTTCCAGTTGCTGCAGCCTAGATGCATTACATTTAGAAAACGCTGCAAATAAATTCTTTAGGGAAAAGCTATGATATGATGTAACAATTAATTCTTCAATACTCGAGTTAGCTAGCGCGGACAACGATTTTAGATTTTCCACGTCTAAAAATTTGCAGTTTAGATGTTTCAGTGATCCGATTTTTGAAACGTTTATAACCTCTTCGGGGTCAAGTTCCTTGGAACATTGAAAACGATGAATTGAATCCCTCTCAGCCAGTTTTATGAAAAGTGGGGAAAGATTTCCTTTTCCGAAAACGCTCAAATCCTCGAGTTTATTTAAGTTTGCCAATTTCTCAATTCCAGTAAAATCTGAGATCGAGCACGTGAGTTTCTTAATGGTTTTAATTTCTGCAACCTCGATGATATCTTCAAAACGTGGTTTATCCAATTCGCTAAGATCTATTTCATTGATCGTAGTTAAGTTGCTGGTGGCGAATGCTTTAAAGACTGGATTTAGATATCCAGTAAGTGCACCCCCTGCGATCTTGAGGGAGTCAAAGCCCGAAATTTGGGAAAGGGGTGCCAGAATATCGGCCTTAAAGGAATTGTAAGAAAAAAGTATCTCCATTTCTTTTTCATTCTTTTTTAAGGTAATACTAAGTTCTTCGGTCATTATAGAAGCTGTCACCTGGCATGCAGTAAGCAAATTGACGATCACCTCCAAGGAATTGCCATTAATCCATTCGCGTCGGACATTGATTTTCAGGTGTTGAAGGTTAGATAATTGACTCAAAAACTTGGTGGAACACCAACTGTATTGATGACACGCTAGAAATCGAATTGATTCTATTTTCGAAAGTTCTATGGACTCCAACTTATCTATTATTCCATAATTTATTTTGCAGGATTTTAAACCAAAGGAGCCATTAGGCTTCATTGATCTTAGGAATTCTGCAAGTGTATTAGGATAGTCTAAGTAACTACATTTATTATGTACGACCAAGCGACTAAGATTGGGAAGCTTTGATAAAGAACCCATTTTGCTAATATCCGACTCTTGATGTATCTTTAACACGAGTTCTTCTTTACATCTGTTAAACTTCACTTTAACATATTTCCCCAAAGTTATGGTTGCTAGATATTCCTTTATTGATGTACTGTCTTCCGATGTTTCACTTAAATCGTACTCGCTTTTTATTAAAACATTCAATTTTGAGTTATACCAATCATTGTATCTATAAGGTTCGTTTATGTGCAAATACCGTAACGAGTCAAAAGTCGCAAACGTTATAGGCTGACTTTCATCGCTCAGACTATCTTCGATGGTCAGTGTCAAGGGTTGAAGACTCTTAGGTCTGCTCCACGTTCTTAAATCATTAAAGAATAGCAATTGTGAGCCGCTCTCTTGGACCCCAGTAATAATAAAAGTTTTTAAGTTGGGTAACTTGGCAAGCGATCTATATTGGGCAACACCGCTTCTCGGGTTTAGCCTAATTCTCACTTCCTCAAGATTTTCGCAATGCGGTGTTATATCGGAAAAACTTCCATGGATTTTACTGCCTTCAAATGCCAATATTCTTAAATTTGGGTTTTTGCTGCAGATGTCAGATAGATCTTCTGTAGAAATGTTATCAAACAACTTTAACGCCTCGGTGTTTGCAAGGTCCGTTGAGATTCCTTGAAATAAAATTACGTTTTTGATTTAATTCATTTAGGCTAATCTGAAAAGCTCAGTGAAGGTAACCATTAAGGTAACTCAATACACTTTTGCATCAATCGATTGTTAAAATTAAAATGGTTTATCAACACTATTTTACTTACCTTTTATACTAACGCATACGTTAGTATGATTCCTCTTTTCTTTATGATATCCCAAAGACAATTCAAGATTGAAAGGACTTTTTTCTCTGACAGATTCTAGGTAGGAGCTCCAGCAACATTCCATTCCGCTTGATATCTTATTGAGACGCAGTTCTATTAGTAGCTTTATGATCTTGCACGCGATAGCCATCTCCAAATCGTCGTACAGTCGTTTGTAATGAACTTCAAGCAACTCAAGGAAGAATTCATGGGCCAACACAAAGTGGATTAAATCACCAAAACTTGAAGAGTCATTCTTGACATTTTTGTCTTTCGACTTGCAATCAGTAATCACGTAATTCATTATCTCCAAGAGGCAGTCGGGGCTAAGGATAAATTCACCCTTTTCGTCCATTTTTTTGCTTTATTAAGCTTTTTAAAAAAAATCACTTAAATGTTGATAGCAGAGCAAATTAGGCATGAATTAAATATTACAGTGCAAAATATAAGATATGCAAATTGAATCTTTAAATTTTTTTAAGCTGAGCTCAATATTCTTACATGTGAATTTTTGAAATACACAAAGCTGTTCTAGTAGTTTACCTAATTGTTGTGTTTTTGAAAAAGCTAAAGCTAAGCTATTTCATATTTATAAATTTTTTTTAGTATAGCTGAAATGATTATTTAAATTTTTTTTGTATTTTTTTCTGAATGCACAACATCTCGAGAATATTGTGTTAAAATTTTAGATCGATCCGAGTAAAACTTCCGAAGTTATGGGCAGTTGAACGTAGGTAAGTTAGCTCGTTATACCCGTTACTCGTAGAGTAAAAGGGTATATTGTATTCGTGCAAAAGTATGTAACAGCCAGAAGGAAGCGTTTCCGACCCTATAAAGTATATATATTCTTGATCAGGATCACTAGCCGAGTCGATCTAGCCATGTCCGTCTGTCCGTCTGTCCGTCTGTCTGTCCGTCTGTCTGTCTGTCTGTCTGTCTGTCTGTCTGTCTGTCTGTCTGTCTGTCCGTATGAACGCTGAGATCTCGGAAACTATAAAAGCTAGAAGATTGGTATTTTGCATGCAGATTCTAGGAGTTCCTACGCAGCGCAAGTTTGTTTCAAAAAGGTGCCTCGCCCCCTTTAACGCCCACAATCGCTTATATACGATTTTAAAAATTTAAATATTTCGGAAAAGTAAAAATGCAGTTTTATTGTGTTTATCAATACCTATCGAAATGTAGAAGAAATTTTTCAAATCGGACCATTCGTTAAAAAGTTATGCGTGATCAAAGTTTCTATCTCCATCTCCCTTGCACCCCCTTTACCTGAGTAACGGGTATCTGATAGTCGGGGCACCCGACTATAGCGTTCTCTCTTGTTTTGTATTCGATTTTTGGGTGTCCAAAACTTTAAAACGCTCTCCTGAGAAGTGGCCATTTCAAAGTCGGTGTACACGATCCTGCAAAATCTATTGGACGGATCGTTTTGAGATTTTGCACAGTATTTCTCTACAAAATTCCTCAGGTGGAGTTTTTTTTTTTTAGTTTATTATTAGATCAACAAATATCTTGACGTTTTGGGCGAAAATCGGGGTTTTTGACTTTCAAGTGCCTTCAATAATCGAAAAAATAATAAAAACTCGACAGCGTTACCTGAGGAATCTTGTCCTTTAACTAATGCCATTTGGGTTTTTTCAAATCAGATGATTCTGTGACCAGTTATCGTGTACACCGCACAACGTGTTTTCTTCGAGGCGCCGCCGGAGATTGCCTGTATCTCACTCAATTTTTAATATTTTTGGATGAAAAAATTCACACATTTTGCAAAAACCAAAATTAACTACACCCCCCTTAATTACACTTTATTTGCCCAAAAATGGAGCACGCACTAACCACTTAAGAGCTGAACCAAAATCACAAAATGTTGCAAAATGTTATCTGATCGTACACATATGTACAAATAAAAACGATTTGAAACGTTTTTTTTTATTCAATTAATGAATGAGCTGCGTAGAGCGATAAGACCAGTATGTATGTATTGGTATTAGTTCAAAAGTGGAACTAAAGCAAAAGTAATGAGCAAATTTTACGAAAAAAAGTTTAAAAAAAATTATAATCTACATATTTTATGTCGTGTGCACTGACTAGCAGGTATTTCAAAATGGGGCCACTATATCGATATTTCCTGTTTCTTTAAAAAGTCTTTGGAGTAGGTAATAACTGAGAAATAAAAACTTTTGGTAAATTTAATTCAAACTTTTCTTTAATTTTTTTTAATGCTGCAAATATGTACATGTACATATACATAAACTCATGTACTTTTTTCATAGAAGCAGTTTTTTCCTAGTTGTAGATAGGAACTCTGAAATATTTGGTAATTAAATTCAACTTATCTTTAATTTTTTTAATGCTGCACAGCAAGCTACAACAAAAGTTATTGTTCCCCTTTTTCGAAAAATATGTACATAACATATACATAAAATATGTGTAAACGTAAACTTAGAATAAGACTATCTGATGAATACAGACTTAGAATTTGAATTTTAAATTATTTAAGCCCTTCTTACACTATTCGGACAAAAACCAATAAATACCTTCGGTTGGTGTTTATTTGTAGCCACTAGGAAAACTGCAACAAAACAACTGCAGTTGGATGTTAAATTTCCTGGTGATATTTATTTCAAGAGACTCGTGGGACTTTTTTAACACAAAAACCATGCGCAAGCTTCTAGTTTCCTATTTAGAAGTTGGACGAAAGAAATTATCAGCTGCTTGCGATTTTATTCTTCCCTAATTACCATTCGCAAGCGAACGCAACTAGCCTGGGCGCCATATTTAAAATCTCTTCAATCATTAAGGGTAGTCCTTAAGCGAGTTGTTGAATTATGATGTTGTTATATTGTATTCAATATCCGTAAATAAAGTAAAAGCACAGTTAAAGCAATTTAAATTAAGTGTAAATATAAAACTAAGAAGCTGAATTCTGCTAAATAATTTATTAGTGTACTGTGACATCAATAACAAAGTGTTCTTTAGCACTCTCATTTCTAGTTAACGGAATGTGAATTTACTATCAAATAAAAGCGCATTTATAATGTATTAAAAACCGCAAACCCAATGGCAAAGTGTACTTCATTTATGTGATAACCAAATTTAAAAAAATCTAGTTTAATAATGGCTTGCCGGCATCTTATTGTCCAAAGCGAGTCAAGATTTCCCCCCATTGTCGATATGGTCACACTGCGCCACACTCATTAAAAGACACCCAAATTGAAAATAAAATGGAAAAGCATCGCTTACCTCTTCCGGAACTGCACGACGATAAACACAGACACAAACAGTGCAACGGCGATAACAGCAACCGCTTCCGTCCACCGAAATACAAGACGCGCGGCTATGTCGCGGTGGACAACAACAATCTGAACCGGAGCCAATCGCTGGGCTCCTGCAGCGCCAACAGTTCGCAGGTAGCCCACGCCATCTCCTTCCGGGGATTGGAGTGCCCGGACGCGAGTACTCTGCCACTTTCTCCAGTGCCTCTAGAACGGAGCGAAAGGAACAGCCACTTTGAGCAGTGCTTCGAGCGGCTAGCAAAACTGGGCGAGGGATCCTTCGGCGAGGTGTTCAAGGTGCGAGATCGTTCTGATGGTCGGTTCTACGCCGTTAAGATCTCAAAGCAGCTGTTCCGTGGCGAACAGTACCGTGCCGAGCGACTAGAGGAGGTCCGGCGGTACGAAGAGTTCTCCGGCCACGAGAACTGTATTCGATTCATCCGCGCCTGGGAGCAATATGACCGGCTGTACATGCAAATGGAACTGTGTCGCGAAAGCCTAGAGCAGTACTTGCTGAGGTGCCAAAGGATTCCCGAGGAGCGCATCTGGCACATCCTGCTGGATCTGCTAAGGGGCCTGAAATCACTACACGACCGAAATCTCATCCATCTGGACATTAAGCTGGATAATGTGCTAATCGGCGAGGATGACGAGACATGTAAGCTGGCGGACTTTGGCTTGGTCATCGATGTGGACAGGGCCAATAGCCATCATGCCACAGAGGGCGATTCCAGGTACATGGCCCCGGAGATTCTGCAGGGTCACTTCTCCAAGGCAGCGGATATCTTCAGCCTGGGCATCGCCATGCTGGAGCTGGCATGCTACATGGATCTGCCCTCGAATGGGCCACTATGGCATGAACTTAGGAACGGCATCCTGCCCGAGGAGTTCATAAACAGTGAGTTCCAAAGGAGTTAATATTTGGGTGGACAGTTAATAAATATTTTTTTCTCTCACCGCAGAAATATCCCTGGAGCTGCAGTCGGTGATAAAGTCCATGATGATGCCCGATCCCGCCCGGAGACCAACAGCAGATCAACTTCTCTCACATCCCAAGCTGCAGCACCTGCAACAGAAGCGCAAGTCGCTGATGAACCTCAGTATGCTGGTAATGGCAATATAGTACTTCCTTACGACTCAGTGTAATTCTTTAAACATTTTCAGTCACGGAGCTTTCGGCGATCTCGTCGCGCCGTCTGGGGAAGAATGTGCAATTGGAAAACGTCAGCCTTCCGTTATCTGCTATATTTCCTGGAGGTCCTGCATTTATGTAAGCCCATCGGCCCCTCGCAGCCCAGCATCAACCTAGATCCTAACTCGCCTTCGTCAAAAGAAGTGCCTCTGGTGCCTAGGGTGGAGTTCCAGCTGGTAGGATCAACGCCCATTGCCAATCGTGACTGTTACGCCTCCGATTTTCCATTTGGCGAAGATCCACTGGAGCTGTCTCATCAGGGTTCCCCCAACGTAATAAATTCCACGCCACTAAACACTAATCAAGGAAAATCTCGCATGGAATTGCTTGGAAAGAAGTAAGTATCCTTATTCTCTTCACCTTAGATTAGCTTATAACCTATAACCCTTTCAGTCTGGACTCCTTTGGCAGGTATCCAAAGATGCCTGATTTCGAAAGTCTGAACAGTCCCTGCTCCGCCCTGTCTTCCCCAAAGGTACTCGACACCTCCTCTTTCCGCCGCAAAAAGCTGTTCGTTATGGAATTTGACGACGAGTGAATACGAAGGCACCGAGAAATTGAAACCCAATGAATTTATCATACAAATAATATACATATATCAGTTACGTAACAAATACCAGATACATATGGCAACCGAATATATCGTTAAATATATTTAGCTTAGTTCTAGACTGTAGAGTTGTACGAAGTTCCCTAGATTTAGTCTTACAATTGTGTAATGTTAATGCTTCTTTAGAAGAACTTGTTGAACTTGAACATTTAATCATGTGATATATATACGAAAAGCGATTTGAAAAGTTTAAAAAATAAAAACTAGTAATTGAAATTGCATTATGGAGTGTTTCGATTTGAGAGGGGGTTTAAATCCTTGCAGTTATGAAAGATAAATATAATGTTAAATGACTGGATTTCTTGAGCTGATAGACTTTTAATATAAAGTCTCTGCAGATTCTCTTTACAAGTTAAATCTTTAAAAATTCAATTTAAAAATACTTCCTTCTTCAGCCCCAAAAAAAACCCTTGCTTAATAAAAATGTGAACCAAGAATTGTTGTATTAGTGAACCATAATAATGATCATTAAACTTAAAAAAAGTACTTTCAAAATGGCTAGAAATATAAAAAATGGCTAGAGCAATAGTCATCCCTTTGTTAAAAACGAACGTTTTACAACACTGGCGCCACACGCACATGTTTAAAACGTAAACAAAATAGCAAAATTTAACAAAATGACTAGAAAAAGGGCTCCCAAAAAGAAAACAGAGGTGGTTTTTGACGACAAGAAACGCATGTGAGTAAAGAACAATAAATATTCCAAATGCTCTACTAATTTCCAACTCAAATCGCGCAGAGAGTTTCTAAGTGGCTTTCGGAAGCGAAAAAACGAACGCCGATCGCGGGCTAAGGCTGAACTGGAAAGAAACCTCAAAAACGAACGTAAACGAATTCGCCAGGAGGTCAAAGATGGCTTTAACCATTTAAAGAAGACCTTCGAGCCACTGCGGGAGCTCACCGAGGAAGACAAGGCTGAGGAACAGCAGGAAGAAACATACGAGGACGACGAGGTGCAGGTTAAGATCGTTGAGCTGACTACCAATGATCTGGCTGCCAAGAGGAATATGTTGGGGGCCAACACGGCAGAGGAAAGCGAACCGGAGGAGCAAGATGCTCAGAGCGAGGAGGATGAGGCCGACCAGCCCAACAGAATACCCGGCATGGACTATGATCCCAACGCCCGCAAACGCAAATCCAAGTCAGAGGATGAGGAGCAGCCAAAGGTGAAGAAAGCAAACACCACATCCACATCCCAGCCAGACATCAAGAGCAAAAAGGATCTCGACCGCTTAATGAAGACAAAAACCCTGAAGAAGATGCACCAGAGCAAATTGTACAAGCAGAAGGAGCGCATGGACAAGAAAAACAACCAGAAAAAGGCCAAACGGGATCGGAACAACACCATAAAGAGCGTTCCAAAGCACCAGCGCAAGCAGCTCAAGTTTGGAAAGGGCCAACAATCGAAATACCGAAAGGGCCGCATGGTGAACAAGAAGGAACTGAGGCGCAAGCGCAACGCCGACTAAGTTTATCGTTTCGCATAGTTTGTTTTACGGTTTATTTACTATTACTCTAGTTGCTCAAATAAACTGTTTAATTCCTGGCTTGTACAATAATTTTGCTAATACGCCGCTCAACTCTCGTTCATATTCATAGTACATATACATCCATCCAACATGCTTTATTTTTTTTTTTTGGGGTTATTAACATTGGCAATATTGCTACTCGCCGCTGTTCGATTATGCTCTATAAATAAAAGGGGGCCGCTAAAATTACACTCGATTTTCATGGGTCTATATCTATTCTCGGGTTCTATGTACAAATTTTGCTTGCTTGGTTTTTAGTTTAGTCTCTTAAAATATTCGGTTTCTTTATTTCAATAATGCGCAGCTGTTTAGTTCAATAAGTGTTCGCTTTTACGGGGAGTAAATTTTTTTTTCAAAATTATACAATAGAGCGGTATCTTTGTAATTGGCCTTTAGAGCGGCAACCTTACTTTCTTGAGGATGCAATGTTATCGCTCTAATGTATCCAAACGTAATCCTGCCAAACACAATAAATATAAAATGCCAAACATGTTTTCGCATTCTTTTTTTCTTACTTAATCATAGGCTTAGGTTCTAATGGGGTCGTGCGTGGGGCGCAGGGTAAAGGTTCGGGATGATCTGGGGGCAACAGTTACGCTCTAGCTTATAGCTTACAGTCCTACGCCTACTCCTACTTCTAATATGTTCATCAGCAGTTAAAAAACGTTTACAAAACTCATGCGAAATCGAAATCCAATAACAAATGCACACGCTGCAGTCTCATCGACGTCTCCGCCTCCTCCTGACTCTCGTCTGTCCGCATCCAGTTAGGATTGCTGCTGCTGCTGTTGTGCCGTCGGCTGTCGCCGGTTGAAGCCACCGCCGGCGGCCAGGTGACGCTGCAGGGCTCGCTGCTGCTGGAACTTGGCGCTGCCCGGTCCACCGAAGCGGTTGAACTTGAACTTGTTACGCTGCTGGAAGTTCTGGCGAAAATTCTGGTTGTAGAAGCGCGGAAAACCACCTCCTCCGCTGTTCTTGTTCCAGCGCTTCTGGCCCTCGTACTCCTGGAATGGGTTGTAGCCGGGCGTGCTGTTGCTTGCATTGCTGCTAATGTTTCCTTTGGCCGCGCCAGACTTCACCTTGCGCTGCCGCCCACGATCCATCTCGTTCTCCTCATCGTCATCCTGGTCCCGCTGCCGCTGGTCCCGCGCATCCACCAGTAGCTGTAGAAAACAGAATATTTAACAATTAAGATGGAGTTCGGGCCTTGTAAATGGAAAGGCTGACATGCGCTTGGTAATGAAGCTTATGCAGATGAGGTACGGAACGCTCACGAAAAACATTGGGAAGCATATTGTATTCGAAATGGGTGAGTGGCTTACGGTTTACTGTTCACGGTGACAGGTTATCAGGCAAAACGGTAACGGCACGGTTGAATTAATGGCGATTCAGGCGGGGAACTAAAGAAAGATCGTGCCGGCCAGCAGTCAAATCATAAGCTTCATTGCTCGGGGACACGTGTGCGGAGTCATCGGGTGAATTACCTAGGCTCTGGTGCTGTCACTCCCTCCCGCAATGACTTTTGCAACTCTCTATACACTCTTAACGCTTGGCGAACGGGGGCCGCATTGGGGAGTCCGTTCGGTTGGGAACGGAAACCGTCAACGCAATCACAGACTATTCGGGGTAATCGTATTGTTTGTATTGTGTGTGCTTTGTGGGGAAACATAAAGGGTCTCGCCTTTGCCTCCGCTTCTGCCTCCTACCGGCCGTCCTCGAGACGATCCGGGTCGGGTGCGTCAGCGCCTTCATCTGATACTGCTACTGCAATAACGACCACGTTACTGTCACTCCCACTGGCCATGTCGACTGCTGCCGAGCTCTCGACGATATCGCTGCCATCCACACTGCCGTGACCAGCTATCCGTTTCGCACAAACCAACTCAAAAGGCTAAATGAATGGGGGATAATGTGGAAACAAATGCAAATTACAAACAAGTTCGTTTAGTAAATCAAACCAATCCAATCGCATTTCATGCAACAACTAAGCGAACGACATAGATCAAATGGAAAGTAAAGATGTTAGGCCAAAAACCAGTCAAAGAACTAAATTTAAGCTTAAGATGCAAGCAGTTGCGATCGGAATAAGAACGCGACTTGAAGTTAAACTTTTAACAATTTAAAATCAAAAGGTATTTAATCTTATTAAAACCGCAACTTTGCCCTTGAAAAAACTCCTTGAGAGAGATTAAATGCTGATGAAGCGCTATGTTTAATAATGCTCCCCGAACTCACCTCCTTTTCAAGCTCCGCTGGCTTGCCGTTCCAACTGAGCACCGAGGAGCCGTATCCACGATGCGATTGTTTCAGAAGCTCGTTAATGGTGCTTCCATTCGAGGTGGCCTCGCTCTGGTAACCATTGCCGACCCTAGGCTGCTGGTGCGACTTGACCGCGCTGCCGTTCAGCAACTTTTGGCGCTTGGCGCCAGGCGTTGTGGGCGAGTCCGTGGATGATTTGCTACTGGCGAAGGGATTGCGATGGATCTTAGTGGGCGTCTGGACTTTGGCTACCGGCGTTTCCTCCACTTCATCATCGTCATCGTCTTCTGCATCAACTTCATCGTTTCGGGTAACTTTCCAGATGCCCGTCTTCGATTTGATGACCGCAGGCGAGGGTGGCGTCTTGGGCGAGGGTGGAGCTCTGCTGTGAGACTGCGATTGCTTCTGTGGGTGCCAGCCATTGGTCAGCTGGATACTCGGCTCCTCCTCATCGTCTTCGTCCTCACTATCCGCCGACTTTTTCAGGCTCTTAAAAATCTCGTCTATGGCATCAGTCTTTTGTTTGCTGTTGTTAACGTGAACCGATGACGAGGCCGACCCGTTCGCGAGAGAGCCATTGGTCTTGCTGTGTCCATTAACCTGCCCAGAGTCCTGGTCTGACTCGCTTGAATCGTCTCCACTTCGACGCTTGCGGGGATCAGGCAGTGGCGCCTCCTCCTCTTCGGAGGCGGATTCGTAGGGCACTAAGCTTTTCAGTGGGGTTTTGACGTGAGTCTTAACTTGGACCTTTACCGGCGATTTTGGCTTCTCTGTGTGGTCCTCCGTCATCTTGGGCATGCTCGGCAGCTGGGCTGTCGTGGGCCTGGGCTTCATTTCATCGTCGCTGTCTTCATCATCCGAGGAAATTGGCAGATATTGTTGCTGGTTTATTGATTTGTGGTTGTTGCTGCTGGTGGAGGAACTTTTGTTACCATTTGCAGTGGGAGCTGGAGTAGCTTCGCCTTTAGCGTGTGCGCCAACCAGTGAAGGCTTCGCAGAGTCCTGAAACTTTCCGGTCCCCAGTTGGAGACCGTTCTGCTGATGTTGCTGATGGTGCTGCTTAAACTGGATGGCGGTTTTCTGGGCACTGCCATTGCTATAGCCATTGATACCGCCGGGCGGAAGCTGGGGACCAATGAAACGGGTAGGCGATGGCGAAGACACAGTCGTAGCCGGCACTGGCAGCGTACTGTGACCGTTGGTATGACGCACTCCATTAGGCCTGGTTGCCGCAGGACTGGCAGCCTGTGAGAGGTCCAATTCGTAGAACATGATGTAGGCATTTGTGTTGCAGACACTCTGCATGGAGATGGGCCGCACATAGCTGTCATCGAAGTTGTAGTAGCTACCCGACTCCGTGGAACCAATGGCAGTATAGTGTCCGCAGTGCTGAGACACTCCCAAATGCGTGACCATTGACACCAGGCGGTAGGTAAGCGGCTGCGCTTGAGCCGCGGGCGAACGAGCAGCGTATTTGCTCAAATCTATGCGTGGCTTGAAGGAGATCTGCTTGGTCAGTTTGTTGCCGATCATGGAGAAGCGCTTCAACTGGATGCACAGCGTGATTGGGGCCCGTTCTAAGGAGAATTGCTTAGTCGCAGAAACCTGAAATAAATAGGTTTAGAAATACAATCTATAGAATGAGGGCAAGACAATCCTACCTTCTTCTTGCAGCCTTCGCATTTGTAGCCCATATCCTCTAACCGCTCCCGCGAGAAGTGACCATCAAAGGCCTCCTCCAGCGAGTCTGCCTTGCGGATGTCGAGCAACAAATCCTGGAAGTGCTGGAACGTGATAGACACGTGGCTGCAGCTTAGACAGCGCACCTCACTGCGCAAGTAGCCACCGAATATCTGTCCCAGAGGCGTAGTCTCTTTCACTAGCTGGTCCAGCTCCTTGTAGTTGCGGAAACGCATCAGAAAGGCCCGCTCCATGGCCTCGACCAGGAAACGGAGGAACTCGTGCGCATCCTCCTGCCGACCGACGACCATGTGCTTGCAAATCTGCTTCAGCTTTGAGTAGACGAGGAAAGGCCTGACGGCCGATTGATTGCTCTGGGTGGCCAGCAGGGTTTTGGCCATAGCGCATACTATACAACAGCCACCGGACTCGGCGACATTGCAATTGTCGAGGTGAGCCTGCTCCGAAACGAGCCAGTTGGCTAGAGCGGGGATGTGAAGGAGCGCTTGGAGCGTCGAGTTGAGGTAGCAAGTGTTGCCCACGTTGATCATGCCTGTGCCCACTTGCCATTTGCGCTCAGACTGCTTCCAGCCGATGCGGATGTTCTCCCGCGGGTACAGGACCCTTTTCGGTTTGGGCAGCTCATTGGGACTGTTAGAGGGATTTGGATGATGGTTGTTGTGATGCGACTGATTGCTGGGGTGCTCCAACTGTTTGCGACTGCCATTATTGTCTGTAAAGGAAAAGAGGTGGGTAGCCAGTTTGAGCACGTGCCATAGGAGGAGGAAGCAGGGCAACAAGAAATGTTTGTAGAGCAGCCACAAGGCGAACCCGTCCACCATTATCACAGTCATAATGCATCGAGTGTCCAGTCAGATCTCAAGAATTATTCACTCGCTCACTGCCTGTGTGCCGTGCTACTAAAATAAAAATAAAACGAGCTGCGCTCGCTGTGGAAACTGCTGACACACACTCGCACACACTCCTACCTGTGCGTAGTGTTGGAAAGGGTACAAGTGCTTTGTGCCCAGACAATGTACAAGTTTGTACATTAGATACCGAGGGTAAAAGATTCACAACTGTATACATATTTTCAGAAAAAATCTCGTAAAGCAGAATTAGCTTTCAAAAAAATTAAAGAACTTGATTTTGAAAGAAAAGAATATATGTATGCACTATTTTTTTAAAACTTTTTTGGTAGTTTCATTCGAGCTTTTTAGGAAACTATTTTGTGTTTTTGTCATGCACAGCATTTTTTCGTGGTATATTTAAAAAGTACCTAAAACTGTTTCCTAGGTACGTTCCTAGGCAGTAACATTTTATTGTTACCAAACACTGTCCGTATATTTGATAACAGCGAGCGTGTGAGCGGGATGACGATTGGCAGAAGAAGAACATTTATTTATGCTGATAACAGCAGGCGAGTGAAAGGGATGGCGAGTTCCAGGCCAGACACTGCGTGTGCTCCGAACATATAGTAGTCCTATTCTAACTTACGGGGGTTAAGGCAGCACAGTGTTGCCAACTGCATTTTTGGCGCGACCTAACAGTGGTCGTTGTAGGCCCTCTGCTCCCCTTTTTTTTTTGCTTTGTAGCTGTGTTTAAGGCATTGACCAGGCCAAAAAAACTTCTTGTTAGAGAGTCTTGGCTTTGTGTCCACTTCCTGATCCGTGTGAATCACTTTTGCGCTCGCCTTTGTTTGCGCTCTTTTTATTTTATCTCACACAAGCAGATTGCGACGCATTTACCGCATATAAAAAAAAAACAAAGCCAATAAAAGTACCGCTGGCGCTGGCCATGTGTGTGGGGAAAAGAGATGGAACTAGCGAGGGGAGCCCTCGTGCTTTTGCCTTTTTTTATTTGCCTGCCGCTGAAAAGGCAGCACGTTTTTTTCCGCCACAACTTCTGTGAATCAGAAGTTCTGGGAGTTTTGTTGTTTCCTTTCCAGCTTACTCTTTGCGACGTTGTACTTGTTTTGCTTTTTCCGCGTATTTCTTTGCATTCTGTTTACACGTACGCCATCACACAACACGCACACACAAGCGCCAAAAAAGTACAGGTATGATGTTCTGCCGACGCCGACTGCGCTGCCGGTAGATTGCAAGCAGAACCCAAAAAAAAATGTTAGCGGAAAAACAACACACGTGATATGTGGAGGGATATTCTCAAAAGATCTGGCAAAAACAAATGGGAGGATATATACATATATACCTCACATATACATAAATATGTATAGCACATGGAAGATTGCGCAAATTGCCATACAAAGAGAAACACAGACGAAGGCGGAGACGAAGAAAAGCCACTTCTGCAGCAACTCTTGGTTTTTTTTTTTGCTTTACTCACCATGTCCATTTGCGCCCACAACTTTGCCTGTGTTGTTTTTGCCACCAAAACCATTAATGGCGCCTGGATTTCCAGGCTTGATGACAATGTATTTAGACTTAAGGTTCTCCAGCACCGACTCGTGGAAGTTGGGCACCTCCTCATACTCGATTTTGGCCATTAGGATGCGCTTGGCATTGGCCACGATGTGGTTTTGAAGGTTGCCGGCGGAATCCTCGCCGGTTTTGGCCTGGTCGCTCGAAGAGGACGACGCGCCAAGGGATTCTCGCAGGGCGGCGTTAACGACATTCGCCGTTTCGCACACGGCCATCGAAATGGGCATCCTGCTGGGGATTTGTGGTGGAATTTTGTGTAGGTGGGGTGGACCAGTGGACCACTACGACATCCGCCCAGTTAGCTAATGTGCATCGAAGATCCTGCAGAAGATCCTTCTCTTCCCAATCCTCTCCCCTTTCTCACTTTGCTCACTCCTCTCTTCCTCTCTCTGCTTCTTGCTTCACACACTGACTGCGACACCGACACACGCACACCAACGCACTCGGGCACACTATTTTTCTGACTCTGTTAGGTCCGCGCTGCGATTTATTTTGTTGGCAAACTGAGCAATACTTTTGGGGACCAGGCATTTGCAAATCGTTCTGGTTCAGTTTTGAACGCGGCACATTTTAATACGCAAAGTCTGCTTTCGAAAATAATGACGATTCCTTCCCTCGTGTTTCTTCCGACTGCGGATTCTCTTTTCGCACCATATTCGTATTTTGGGGATGCCAACTCGCAGCAAATGGTCAAGTGACGCGCTAAGCAATGCGGCGTAGCGAAGTGTCCTAACGCGTTTTATGAAAAATACTATGGCTAATAAAATATATTTAATCCAAATTTTACAAGTTTAAATTTCGGTTAATTATTTTAAGACGCATAATATTGTAATTAAATTGCTTAATTAGGGTTTAATGTACTATTTTACTTACTATTTAAGTAGCTATTGTGCACTTTTTTGAAATATATTAATAATTAGGTTTTCAACTACTACACATTTTTATTTCTAGCAATATGCGAAATTCTTATTTAATAGGTATATTAATAAGATTGTAAAAATCTGACGACATTTTTATTTACCTTAGTTGAATAAATAGAGATAATATGTACAAAAAATCTTATTTCAATTTCATCAGTATATTTAAGCCTAATCAGAAGATCATTTAAAAAACCTGGTAACCCTACGTTACGATGTTGATGCAACTGTTGAACTAAACACAATTAAATTAACACCAATCTATAGAGAAGCATGGCCTCCTCTACTGGTCTTCTGGTCGTGTCCAACATCAAGCACTTGGGAAAATCCCTGCGTGCCATTGAGAAGTACGTCAATTCCCTGTACATCCACTTAAATGTAACGGGGTCAACGTCCACGGCGTCACCAAATTTACCGCCTCCTCCGGTTTGGGGTCGTCTAATTTCCCAGCTCTATGCGAACAGCAGCAGTTATGTGGGTAACCAGTTGGACCTGCGGGTCCTTGTCTCGCCTCTTCGGCCAGGCGGAAGTGGATCCTTAAAGTTGCGGCAGCCCGTAGACCTGATATTTTCGGATGCACATCATCCGGAACTATGTGACCGGTTGCGGGCGGATCTTAACATCAGCAAGCCCACCATCTTCCTTGAGGATACGGCCATCTCAGATTTAAGTGCCCAACAGGACGCCTCGCAGGCTCCGAAGATGTATCCCTCGGTTGTCCTTGGCGGAACCTTCGACCGCATCCATTTGGGCCACAAGATATTCCTCACCCAGGCGGTTCTGCGTACATGCAAACGTCTGGTGGTGGGCGTGACGACCTCCACCATGACGAAGGGTAAGCACTGCATGATTTGGCAAAAAGATTCTTATCTAAATGGGCTTTGCTATCTGCAGGCAAGACTTTGCCGGACTTGATTCTGCCCGTGGAGGAGCGTATTGCCCGCCTAAGAGATTTTCTCATGGACATAGATAGCTCACTGCAGTACGAAATTGTGCCGATCGACGATCCCTTCGGACCTACGCAAGTGGATCCCGATCTGGACATGATCGTGGTCAGTGCGGAGACGCTGCGAGGTGGTCAAAAGGTCAATGAGATACGGTCATCTAAGCAGCTGCGGGAGCTGGAAATCTTTGTGATCGATATTGTGGAGAGCAACGTGCATGATGGCATCCACGAGACAAAGGTTAGCTCGAGTAACACAAGGATTGATCTGCTGGGTACTCGCTGGCGAAGACCGGATCAGCGCCCACAGCTTCCGACGCGTCCTCACATCATTGGATTAACAGGTGGCATCGCCTCCGGCAAGAGCAAGATGGCCGAGAGATTGGGCGCAATGGGCGCCCATGTCATCGATTGCGATAAGGTAGCCCACGATGTGTATGAACCGGGTCAGGTGTGCTACGAACGGATTGTGCAGCATTTTGGACAGGGCATTGTTGCCGCAGACGGCCGCATCGATCGCTCGAAACTGGGGCCCGTGGTATTTGCCGATCCCAAGCAGCTGCAGGCCCTCAACGCGATCGTCTGGCCGGAACTCATCGCAGAGGTCAACAAACGGCTAGATATACTACGTTCCCAAGCCGATACGCCTCGTGTGGTGGTCCTGGAGGCTGCGATACTCCTTCGAGCGGGCTGGGAGTCCAGTTGCCATGAGGTGTGGTCCATGATTGTGCCCCCCGATGAGGCTGTTCGCCGAATAATAGACCGCAACAACCTCAGTGAGGAAGAGGCCAGGAAGCGGCTGGCCAGTCAGGTGCCCAACACGGAGATAGTAGCCAAGTCTCACGTGCTTTTCAGCTCTCAGTGGGATCACGACTTTACCCAGAAACAGGCGGAGCGGGCCTGGCAAATGCTCACCAAAGAACTGGACTCGCATTAGAGCAGCCTATAACACCAATTGATATTCATATTACCTGGTAACGATTGTTGAACCTTTTTTGTATGATTCTTTATGCCTTTGTTGTACATTGCTTAGTTGTAAGTCGAAAGTTAAAGAGAAATGCCGGGATGTCAATGGGAAATCGATTAATTTTTCAACGGTGGCTCTCGCCCTTCTTGCCGACGACCCTCTTAAAGTCGTTCATCTTGGTGGTCATGATGGGGGAGCCAATGAAGCCGATGTAGTCGATCTGCGTCACATCGCCACCCGACTGATTGTTCTTCACGAAAATCTGGATGTTCTGCACGTTCTGGAACTTGACGTAGCGTAGATTGACGGGCAAGCCGTTCTCCAGTTCCTTCTCAGCCAGGCTGCAAATTGTTTAAACCAATAAGTATAGGAAATGGGGATTGGGTAAGTTAAAGCCCACCTCAAATCCTGCACGCTGGTCATGGACTCGGCCATATCAAAGTCAATTGTGCGTGGCTGGTTGATGAACAGCTTGACATCCTTGGGACCCAATTGTGAAGGCGCCTTGAACTTCAACGAATGGATCTTGACGGCCTGATTGAAGGTAATGGACAGGATGAGCTGCTCGTCGCAGTCGGACTGCAGGTAGCCACCGGCGGAGGCCAAGGCGTGCTTTAGGTTATGGTCATCGGCTTCGTTGAGGCACTCGCATTCCTGCTTCGATATGAAAGTGTTTAGCTCCATCTGAATGATGAAAAAAGGATTAGTTTTTGGAGGTCTGAAAAACTGGAATAACCTACTAATCCCTGGCCGTAGTCCTCGCCAGCATCCTCGCCGACATCGGTACCGATGTGCTCTTGGATCTTGGCTTCCAGTCCATTCACGTCCGCCCCCTGAATGCGATCGATTTTGGTCCTGTTCCTGTAAAAGATGAAAGTGGGCATGGCTGAAACGCCTTGGCCGGCAGCCGTATCCTGGCACTTGTCTACGTCCACCTTCAGGAAGATCGCTTTGGGGTACTTGTTCGGAAACATCTCGAAGATGGGAGCAATCCGCTGGCAGGGACCGCACCAAGTGGCCGTAAAATCCACCACCACTAGGCGAACGCCTGCCTGTGCCAATTCCGCCCGGAAGTGGGACTCGTCGTTGATCACACGCACGGACATGGCGACAATTAGAAAATATTATTGGCTCTAAATGCGAATTTCCAAAGCGACGACAAACAAAAAGATGACTGGCATCTAATATTAGTGTGGCCGGAGAAAAATATTAAAATACTCTATTTTCAATTTTTATACTATTAATATACCGTTCAAATTAGCTAAATATATGATTTAATTTATTAAATAATTGTTCATAGATAATTCCGTATTTTAAAATATAGTTCTTCGTATTCATGTTTTTGAATTTACATTCAAATGTTACTATTTGGGCTGTCTATATCACGAAATCGCAATTTTCTTAAATTCAAATAGTTGCACCACGCATCTCTAAAAACGATTTTAAGGAAGAGTAAAAGCTAAATAATACAAATTATGTTCTTAGCAATAATATGACCCATTGTGGGATAAGTTCTGTTGAAAATAATTTCATATGAGACGAAAAACGTATCAATATACATATATCTGCACAAGGTGGACATGAAAGTAAGGCCAAAAGAGAGTTGTCTTTGCACTGCTGGTATTTAGATTTAATTCAATTTAATTTAAATGTCGCGCTCCACGATTAGGGTTGTCAAGGCTTAATACCAGTCAAGAGGCGGTCCCACTGGCCACGCTACTGGTACCTTCGATACTATCGATTCCTCGGCAGCGCTTGGCCACACTAGCTTTACCTCGTGGTGTTTCAGTCGGTCGCATTTTCATTAAAGTCGCCATTTTAAAATTTGAGAGTGTGCACAATGGCAGATGTGGAAAAGGAGCCCGAGAAGACCATCGCCGAGGATTTGGTGGTGACCAAGTACAAGTTGGCCGGCGAGATCGTCAACAGTGAGTATTTGGCTCGGAACGCGTGAAGGGAAAGCATTGATTCCAGGAGGCTCTGCTACGTGGCGCTTACACAATATAAATGCCGCTTTCCCTTTTTCGCCACGCGTTTATAAATCCGCCTATTTCTGGACCCCGTCTGTCTGTTTAATTTTAGAAACCCTCAAGGCGGTAATTGGACTCTGCGTGGTGGATGCCTCCGTGCGGGAGATCTGCACCCAGGGCGACAATCAGCTCACCGAGGAGACCGGCAAAGTAAGTGGACACCGTGAGGTTTCTGACGTTAAATATCCAGTCCAATGATTAAGAAACACACCTTTGAGGGTATTTCCAAGGCAAGCCATGTGCTGTGTGGGCTGGCGGTCATCCTGTGTTCGCCAGGCGCTCGCTGGGATTTGTATTACCCACGTGCCCGGCTTGTGCGCTCGCCATTTGGTCCCAAGGATTCACAGATTATGAGATCTGAGGACAGCCTAGATCCACTTAGAGGTCTCTAGTCTAAAAAACAACTTAACTAATTGATGTTTCCTTCTTTTACACCAGGTATACAAAAAGGAAAAGGACCTGAAGAAGGGCATTGCCTTTCCCACATGTCTGTCCGTCAACAATTGTGTCTGCCATTTCTCGCCAGCCAAAAACGATACCGACTACACGTTAAAGGCCGGCGATGTGGTTAAAATGTAAGTCTTACCTCTTATCTGGCTTATCAAACACCTAATATCTTGTTTTTCCCGCTCTATAGTGATCTGGGTGCCCACATTGATGGTTTCATTGCCGTGGCCGCTCACACAATAGTGGTGGGTGCTGGAGCGAATGAGAAGATCAGTGGTCGTCAGGCCGATGTTATCCTCGCTGCCTACTGGGCTGTCCAGGCTGCCTTGCGTCTGCTCAAGTCCGGTGCCAATGTGAGTACTCTAATAGTTTTAAGTCCCTAGTTTATCCTCGCAAGAAACGGATTGTCTGTCGCAATTCTCCAGCGACTGAACATCTCAATGCTTGTAGAGATATCCGATGCCAGCTGGTGATTGCTCTGGCCTTTTATTTAGGTCTAGTGGTTCTATGCTGGTTGTCCACGTGGCTACTTCTGCAGGCAACGGATTGACTGTTGCTCTTACCTTGGCGCAGTTCAGCTCAACGCCTGCAGAGAGAAAACGCGTCAATTTCGTGAACTGAACAAGTTTAATACACAGAAATGTTCGGTCTTTAATGTTGTCCACATTTACAAAATAAGCTAGAATTATCATTTGCAGGCTACGGATTGGCTGCTGCCTAACCCATGGCTCAGTACAGCCAACAGTCAACGCCTGCAGATAATAGCAGTGTCATTTCGTGAACTGAACAATTTTACACTTCAGAAATGTTAGGTCTTGAAAGTTGTCCACCGTCGCATTGAGAATTCAAAATTCACTGAATGCTGAGAAAGGTGGTTATGATTGGCAAATCTTTAAATTGCTTTTGCCAAGTCAAATGACATTTTTAGTGCTGTTCTTCATCTCTACTGGCGGTTGTCAATGTAGGGCCCTTTAAGACTAATTTATCAAATAATATAATGTATGTTTTAAACCCTTGTGTTTTACAGAACTACTCCCTCACCGATGCCGTGCAACAAATTAGCGAGTCGTACAAGTGCAAACCCATCGAGGGCATGCTTAGTCACGAGCTGAAGCAGTTTAAAATTGATGGCGAGAAGACGATCATACAGAATCCTAGCGAGGCGCAGCGCAAGGAGCATGAGAAGTGCACCTTCGACACGTACGAGGTGTATGCCATCGATGTCATCGTCAGCTCCGGCGAAGGAGTGGTTAGTAATCAATCAAAAAACACCATATTTCCATATCCTTGTTCAATGATTAAAAAACACGCGCTTGAGGTTCACTTGGTTGGAGCGAGGAGATTGTTGCGTTAGCATCTTAATGCTCGGCGGGCTTTTGTTAGTAAGCTCGGCACGCGCAGAAACCAAGGTCCAGTTAGCTGTTGTCCGAAGATTGCAAGATTATGAGATCTGAGAACGCCCATGAGAAGCTGGAATTCCCATTCGCTGGGGCCATACAACACAATTGCTAAGCATTTGTATTTGTTTGCAGGGACGTGAGAAGGATACCAAGGTCTCCATCTACAAGAAGTCTGAGGAGAACTATATGCTCAAGCTGAAGGCTTCCCGCGCCCTGCTGGCAGAGGTGAAAACCAAGTACGGAAACATGCCATTCAACATCCGCAGCTTTGAGGAGGAGACCAAGGCCCGCATGGGAGTCGTCGAGTGCGTCTCACACAAGATGATTGAGCCCTTCCAAGTGCTTTACGAGAAGCCATGTAAGTGTGATGTTTATTAATTTTCCTATTATTTCGTTGGCAAAACTTAATTCCGGATTTGGTACACCTTTGGGTGCTAAGTGCGGCCAGACATTTTGCTAGAAAAAAGCCCAGATTTGTCGTTTTCAGCAGTTGCCGCACTGTGGCCTCTGTCTGAACATGTCAATGTCACAATTGCAACCTTATTAACCACCTTATCTTACATTTTTTCAAAAAACCCCCTTATTAATTGAAGCTTGTTAATAAAAGCCTTCAATCTCTCAAACAAAGAGTCTTACCAAAACGTTAACAAACTCTTTGATTATGTTGAATTACAGCCGAGGTTGTGGCGCAGTTTAAGCACACGGTTCTGCTCATGCCCAATGGCGTAAACTTGGTCACCGGCATCCCATTCGAGGCGGAGAGCTACGTAAGCGAGTATAGCATTGCGCAGGAGGAGCTAAAGGTATGTAACCTTTTCCGATATGATGTCACGATAGGTACTAATTTAAAACACCCACATTTTTTCAGACCCTGCTCACACAGCCTTTGGGTCCCGTGAAGGGCAAGGGTAAGGGCAAGAAGGCATCAGCTGGAGCGGCGACAAAGGTGGAAACGGTGCCGGCCGTTGAGACCAAGGCATAGGCCAGCCCGCTGATAAAAATCCGCACCACCAACCCAACAACGGAAACCCAATGTGAACAACTGCGCTGCCTACAGCTGCCGCTCTACAGATTTTTTACTATCGAATTCGTTGCGTATTAAATCCTTTTTGACAACAGAAAAGAACAGAACCTGGCAACAATTTGAGGATTCCTGTTCACACCAGCAGCGAATTAAAAACGCAGAACCATTTCCCCAAACAATCCTCCATCCATCAGCAGGGCGGTGGTACCGCTCCAACTTTACCTCTTTATTTCCTTTACTATAAGCTGCCTTCGTTTATCGGTTTGTTCAACATCATCGCAACGAAAAAGCAAAGCAAAGCAAGAACTGTCGTCAAATTGAAACAATTTTAACGCTAAAATGATCTTAAAATATAATTCAAGAAAAACGTTATTAACGCTGCGTAGTAGGTATTAAATAAAATTAACATTTTCTATAAAACAACCGATAAATGCCAAGCGACTCTTTATTTATCACACTTCCTCTGGCCCCAGGGTCTAATCGAAATTGAGACGTTTGTTATTGTAATAAATGCACTTGAGAGTTGTGTTTATTTTATACTTTTAATTTAGTTTTGATGTTCACATTCACATTATACAATTTGTAATTTAGATTTCTTGCATGTTTAGTTTAAATTTTACAGTCTCATCTTTGAACTCGGGTATTACGAAAGTTGCAAGAATAACTTCCTTATGGGTAAAGTCGTTTAGTTCTGTGCCATCCACCCCAGCCGATGACCCTGGATCCAATTCAATCTAGTCTAGTCCAGTCCGTTTAAATACGCTCTGCCCATCCTGCCGACTTTCTCCTTTTGCGTCAAATAAAATAAACAACAGAACAAAATACGCAATTCCTGCTGGTAAAGTATAGAATACACGACCAGCATTTTCAGCCGACTAGGACATGTGGCCGTTGACTATAACAGGATCTGAGATTTAATGGTCTGCCCTCGCTACATACATAGTGTGGTGTAGTTTTTTTTTGGGTCGAGGACTGTGTTTTGCTCGCGGCCAGACTAATTATCGACATGCACATCCATGGGTGCCGAGGCGGTCACGTTGTTCGACTTCTCCGGCGAGTCCAGGTAGATCTTCAGGGCGCGTTCCCGGCGTTGCGAGTATCGCGTGGTGGACACGCAACCCACCCGATCCAAGCGGGCCTTCTCCCTGGCGTTCATCTGACGTCGCTCATCCAGCGATAGCTCACGCGCAGGTACACTTTTATCTCTGTTGGTGAGATCTGTCAGTGTTGGCTCTATAAATTTCACTCTTCAAATACTTACTTGTACAGGTAAATGTTGCCCGTCTGTGTGTTGTTCAGCGGATACTTGTCCAGGCTGACGGGATCCGAGAACCAGCTGTTGGACTCGTTGACGCTTAATGCTGATATGCTTGTGCAGGGGAAGTTGCTGATCACCTGCGAGAAAAACGATTCAAGTTTAGATAGTGATCAACGAAAGCTGGGACCTGGATATACCCTCATATAGCTAAGTTTGTCTATTGTGATGTCGCTGATCTCTGATAATGAACGTCTAAGCTCGCTGTCCTCTGTAAAAGAAAATTTTAAGATTCAGAAAAATAACTTCGTTATCATTCTTGAACTTTGATATTTTAAATATGCTTACGGTCTAGAGTGATTTCCTGGAATTTTCCAAACTCCATTTTAGCTGAGCACCAGCGCCTAACAAATATGGTCAGTGAATCGTCCTTAGGCTGTGGATTTACTCCCTCCTCGCACTCCTGTACAATAAACTGTAATGGCACGAAGATAAACAAAATAAAACCATAGTCCTAATCCATATATTTAAATAACCCCACCTCTGCTGCGATGGTGGAGCGCATGTCGCAGTAGAGCGTCTCGTCGTTGGCCAGAATCTTGATCGGAATACGCCCGCCCTTCAGCCAGATGCGGCAGTTGTCTTCAGTGAGAGTGGCATACTTGGCGTCCATGCGATGTAGTTTGGCCACCAGATCTTTCTTGGCCTGCTCCGCGGTAGTGTTGGCATTGTAGACCCACTCACAAACGCAGGGCAACTTAGAGGTCTCGTTGTCCACGTCCGCAAGTCGCAGAAAGTGAATCTTGGCCTTAAACTCGTCCGGTTCCAGATTCTTGCCCAATTCCACAGTCAGTGTCTCGCCCTCGGTGAGAAGGACCAGAGAGTTGTTCTGGCTGCTGGATAGGTTGGTATCGTGCTTGCGCTGCAGCTTAAAGTAGGCGATGGGCACTTGGATCAGCTCCTCGATGTGGCGCTTGAAAGCGACCATGCGCATGTGTGAGCCCACCAGCAGTTTGTAAGCGCGCGTGGGCCTCCGCAGCTGAGCCTCCTCGTCGGACAGGTGACCTGAACTGGAACCAGTGCCCACGACATCAACGCACTCAATTTTTGTTGCGTGGAAGAAGTGGTTTGTGCTGCTGGGCAGGAGCAGGGGATCAATCACATCGGCCGCCGCATAGCTGCCGTTGCCATTGCAATAGGCGTGAACCCGCATCATGGCATCGTGGGAGGCGGCTTCGTCCTCAGGGCTAGACAGTTGTGGCGAGTGGCTGGTGGAGCTAACTTGGCTGTCGCCACCACCGCGGTGTGCCAGGTTCTCCGTCTCCACCAAAGTGCGGTCTCCGTCACTCAGACTACTGTCCTCCGAGTTGGACTCGTGGCCATGACTGGGACTGGGTTGGGAAAGTGGCTCGAGCAAATCCCGCTTGTAACGCCTCCAGTCACAGTCATTGCTGGAGGACTCGTGACCGGATGCCACGCCGTTCATCATGGCGGCGTCCACCACATCACCACCGCTGGCGGGCTGGAAAAAAGCGAAGAAAATTAAAATCAGTGAACTAAACAATATGTATCTTTAAAACTTACTTCGACTGATTCGACGCTCGGCACACCCAGCATCTCGAGGCTGGCGGGATCGGTATTGGGCACGTTCAAGTAGAAATATGTTATGGATTTGAACTGGGTATTGGCCAGGTTCTGGAGGTGCTGGAGCGCCTCGGGCGACGGATTGGGATCGTAAGCCACGAAAGCTTTCGGTACCGTGCCGCGAACCGTGGCGAGAAGGAACTGCTGCTCGCTAATGCGCAAACGGAGGCCGATGGAGCGGCGCAGGGCGTCGCTGGCCTCTCGCTCCCGCGCTGCTGAGTAAACCAGGAAGGGACCGTCCATCGCCATTGTCGATAGATCTACCATAAACACATACCACGTGATGCCGTCCGGAGCGTACGGCTCAAACTGCTGGTCGTCAGCCCGGTACTCCAGCAAAAAGTCCAGACTGTAGTTCTGTGCGGCGCGCAGTTCAGTCAGAGCTGGATCTGTGCAGTTCTCCAAAGACTGGATAATAGTGTCCATCGTGGAGTTGTAAGCCACCAAGCGACAGCGCGAAAGTGGTGCAAACTGTTCCACATTCAGCATATCGTAGGCGGACATCAGTACCAGGTTGATGTCGAAACTCTGCGACACGTACACCCTTGTGAACTTCATCTTCTTCAGTGAGGGATTGTAGAAGTAGACGCGCGGTTTGTGCAAATCCGGAAGAGCCAAGTCTGGAACAGTGTTATGCCTGCCCAGTCGAGTCACTCGAGTCTCCTCCTCCGAATGCAGCTTTGGCAGCAGCGTTTTGATGTGCTCCGGAAAGTCGGCTACCTTGGCGACCTGTTCGTTCCGCTTAGCGTCCACCTGCCGATACATCAACATGTATGCGTTGGTGCTGGAGGTGTAGGCACTGGAGTAGTAGCTGCCATTGGGTCCGCCGAACGAACGCTGTATGTCCTCCTGGGTGATCTGCGTATATAAAGTCCGTCAGTTTATAAAAATCACTTAAAACATTAAATCAAAACCTACAGGAGAAACATTTTGATCGTTGAAGCAGAACCATTCATTGTTGTCGAAGTCCTTAATGTAGGCGTAGTAGTGGCCACCGGAAGCGCTGCCCGAGTGAATCATGATTGCAAACAATTCGTACAAATACGGTCCAGATCCCTGCTTAGCGCTCTTACTGGTGCTGCTGCTCATGTCAATGCCCTCGTCTTCGTCGTTCAGGTCGTTCTCATGCTGGCTGGAGCTTGCTGTGGTCACCACCCCGCTGCTCAGGTTATCGTCCTCCATGGCCGAACCACTGTCCGCCGTGCTGCAATCGTCCACGGTACCATTCATCTGGGAGCTGTGCTCGTTGCTGTTGCCACTCCGATTGATGAAGGTGTTCAGGTTAAGGGTCTGGGGAAAGGTCACTCTGGAAGGCAGAATGGGTTTAATTATCAAAATCAGTTTCTAGTATCAAAAGAAATATAAAAAATATACACAGTTTATCTTATAGGCTTCTAATTAATTTACCATCTTTATCCAACCGTAGAGCGATGCTTAGCAAACTTATTCTCGGGGATGTGGAGAGTCCCGAGATACTGGGTCGCTTAAACTACTCTATGCCTAATAGAATTACCAGGAACTATATTCCTCTTACTTTAAATCATTGGACTATACCATATTATTTCTACTGCCAACTTTTTGTCAATTTTAAAAACATAAATTTTTTCTTATTTAGAATTAAATAAGTATGAATTACTTTTGTATGTTTATTACTATATTGTCCCTTTTTCACATGGGGAATAGGGCTCCGTGCGAAACAAGCACTGCTTGGGGTCGTAAGAGCTACTTCAACGTCCGAAAAAAAGAAATGCACATCCAAGCTCAAATTACCTTAGTTCAAATGAGATAATAGTCTACACCTACGTAAAAATCCCATTCATATATACATTTTTATCTGAAGATTCTAAATTTTATCTAAAGATTCCCTATGGGTTTGCAACTAAATGAATTACCGTGGCGGCTCACCTGTCGTTTAACTTAATGCGGTGCATTGTCTGATAGTCGAAATCGAAGCGCTTAAGGTGCAGCGTGAGGATGTAGGGAAAGGACTTAAAGTGCAGACCCTTGTGGGCGTCGCACTTTTTCTTGCACTTCTCGCACAGATACTGATTGTTGCCATCGAGCGTTTCTGGCTGAACGAAGGCGCGCAGAGCCTCCTCGATGCTGCCGTAGGCAGAGCTGCTGCCAAATGGACGAACCGGTAGCGGTATGTCTAGAAAGGTGTCCTCGCGCGTCTTTTCCGTATTGCACTCCAGACACTTGACGTAATCGTTCATCTTGCCCTCGTACAGGTTGGATATGAGGTTGGCCTGCTTGGTGTTCTTGAACTTGCGCTCCAGGGCGTCGAACATGACGCGGCACAGTTCCTGGATGTCGTGCTGCTGCCAGGCCTCCGTCGAGTCCCATCCAAAGCTACGGGTTAGGTCCGTGGTCTCCACCGCCGCCTTTGGCGAGGTCTGCAAGTTAAGGAATAGCTTCTGCAGCTGGTAGGGTATGTTCTTGGCCTCGTTGTCGTTGTCAAACTCCCAGCGATATAGAGCATTCCTGAACTCAGGTGTCATAAACAGTGCCTGAAGCAAGCTGTTTAGGTAGCAGGTCATGGCCTGGTTAACCAATCCCACATATCCCCTAGATCCTCCATTCTTTTGCCGTGTCTCTGCCTCTGTTTCTGTGGTGGCCGAGGCCACAAAGTCCGCAGCCGTGGTGTTGATTCTCTGCCATGCTGGCAATTCATCTCCGCCATACTTGCGGCGATAGAAATTTGAGAGAGCCGGGTCCGTTCCGTCGTCTGGTCCAATCGTAGATAGATCCACCTCACCGGTCGCACCCTCGCCGTCCAAATCACCAGTTGGGGCTCCGAAATCATAGCCCGGTCCCAGATTAGTAGGACTGGCAGATGCGCCCAGTGCCAGGTCGTCATCTGACAATTGCTCGGCATCCGAGATAAATAAGTCCGAGGGGGCATCGTCCACCGGCGAGATGAAGTTTCTACCTTGTGGATAAAGCTGCAGTTGCTCGGAGATTTGTTGTTTGCTCAGCGAGTCCAACGGTTCGCAGTCCAGTTCTTTAATTGGTGATGATGGCTTAATGGGACTCGGTAACTCGAGACTAGTTTCTGTTGTAACTTTCGCTGCCTTCTTTGCAATGGGACTCGAGGGAGAAGATATTTTGGAACTAGCCTCCGCAGATACCTCGGGACTTTCTTCTGGGCTGGCCTTGGGAGCTTCTTTTGAAACGGCCTTGGGGCTGCTCTCTTTAGTTGCCTTGATCTTTTCTGGGCTTTCTTCCGAACTAACGCTTATTTTGGCGCTGACCGAAGAGTCCTCGACCGAGATTTTTGTCTTGCTTGGCGAGGAAGATCCCGATGTTGGCTTCTTCTTAGTTTTCTCGCCAACCACGCGTTTCTTCTTCTCGCCAGTGGCTGGGCTCTTGGCCTTCGCCTCGTCTGACTTTACGACCTTCTTGACCACCACCTTTTTGATGGGCAACTCAAAGCGTTTTGCCACGTCGCCATCCCAGCTGCCGGAGGGCAGCAGGACTAAGTGGTTCTTTAGCTGGCGCTCAAATCCATCCACATCATACATCAGCTTGGATTCAAGGGCATTCAGGTTAACCTGAAAAGGTGGAATTCGTAAAAGATTCCTCTTTAATAGATTAAATGATAATCCTTACCAGATCCTTGTTTTCGTGTGGTTGCAGCAGAAGCTCAAACTTCCCGTAAGGGAACTGAGTGCCTATCAGATCGATTACGCGCTTAACCGTGAAGTGGGAGCGAACCACAACATTGATCTTCTTCTGCTCCGAGCCGGGCGTCTGGTCAAAGACCGAGACTGTGCACTGCTCGCTATCCTTGTCCGTCATGTCCTTGCTGCGAAGTGTTCAAGTAATGTTGAGGAAAACCTGCGGATAGATGGAAAGTGAAACGTTGAGCTTTACTCATGAATTTTGTATTGGTTTTTCTTTTCTTTAATATTAAAACAAGGGTGATGAAATGACACCTTTGACGTCTCCGGCGTGGCCAAGTTGCAGGTCATGACGAAGCTTCTTTGGACAGCTAAGGCCGGTAGTAAACAAGGAAGAGGGGTCGACCAGCCCCAAATTACTGCGAAATCTTCTTGTTTTTGGCCTCATTTGCGAATAAAGCGGCAGAAACCAAGAACAGTCCGTCCCGCCTCCCTAGTCACGGCTGTTGACGTGCTCCGGGCTCGCTTTTCGCGCCTTATTTGTACGGGCCAGCGCCAGTTGCCGTCTATATATATATATAGATATAGCACGTACACCCAATCGAGCATCGACTGCCCCCCGAAATCGACGTCGTGACTAACGCGCAGTGGAATTTCGTAAACAACCAACCATCAGTTGGCTCCGGAGGATGCGGCGGGAAATATAATTCGCCTCCATTTTGCGACCAACGTCATTATCGGGCGCACTGAATGCATAAATTTCAGTACAAATATCGCTCCATGTTGGCTGGGATTCTTTGTGGGTCCCTGCTCGACACTGTAACGGAAGTGGTAGCGATTATACGGCGGAATATGTCTAGCCTCCATTCCGGCGTTGCGCAAATTGCAAGTGGGCGGCCCATCTACATGTACGAATAATATCGATTTGGGCATATTAAAAATTATTCTAGAAATATTTGTAAGTCTTGACAGATTTAAGAAAAACAGATGGAAAATTTTAGTTAAAAATGTATGGTTTTTAATATGTATCATTGAGCTAATATCGAATAATGAAATATTTGAGGCATATTTTGAAAAAGTTCTATAGGTCAGGGAATCATTTTTTTATTTTTTTATTAAAGCTGGCAACTTAGTTATGTTCTAAATAAAAGGAACTGCAAATTCACGTACCTTCATTAAAATGAGGTATAATGTTATGATTATATCCGAAAAGAGAGGATCCCATTTATTTCCTTTTTTATTTAGTTGATTTATTCTTGTCGATTAAACGATTCGAATATTTTCTTATCTAGATTGCTTTACATTTCATTAATGTAATATCGACTGTAGATCAAATATATTTATAATCTTTAGAAATGCCTGTCAATTGATTCTAAAATTAATTTTTTTCGAATGTCTATTTTGCCATTAATTTTAAGAGACTTAAGATGCTCTGCATCTAATTCAGTGTCGCAAGCAATTGGCTCGACGATTTGCAATGTTTTTCCAATTCGTTTCATTAAAATCACCACAAACACACAGCAAGCGAAGATATTTTGGGATTTCGAATGGAGGATGCACCTCGACGTGATGTGAATGTGCTGCAGTTGCCGTTCAAACACATGTTGGATGGTCCAAACACAACCCGTATAGCCCCGCAAGGGAGCGAGCGAGATGGGGATCCAAAAATGCTAATACACGTCGGCCAGCAGAAATCAAAATAAGAAACCCGTGCTGCTAAAAATAAAAACAGGCGGCGACAGCGACAACGACACATCGGAGCGTTCGGAAAAAGCACAAAAAAGTCGAGAAAAAGAGGGGAGAGGAGCCAGATATAAGACAGCTTTGGGAGCGTTTCAAAAAAGCGTATATCTGGCTATTTGTAAACGCGAAGGTTTTCAGAGAAGCACACAGCCTCATAGATACATGTCTATCCATCAGAATAGTGTGGCACTTTCAACACATTTTCCCCCACTCAATATTTACATGATGACTATGATATCTTTCGGCCAATGATTGTGTTTGTTGGGTATTACAGAAACCGATATCGCGAGTTATCTATGCCATATAGACACTCTGGCGGGGCAGGAAGAAGAGTGCTCATTCTCGCATATATTTGTGCTATTTTTGAACTATTTCGGTACTGCAAAATCTATGTGGACTACAAAACCACGAGATGACTGAGATATGACTGCTGCCTGCCGGAAATCGCAGGATTTTTGATCATATAATGCACTTTTGAGTTCGAAATCTCCATTACGAAATGATTTCTATTCTTAGACCTCGAACAACTTCAGTTGGAGGTTCCAATGTTGTGTGAATAAGTGTGTATATATCCGTGCTCTATATGCAACAATTTCTGGCTGTTTTACCGTCAGATCTGAGTGTGCCGAAATCTTTTCGAACTAGAAGACCGCGCCGTCAGCGCACGACATAGTTCACGCGTGTACTGGCCGATTGAGATACCGATTCCGAAGATATCCCACCCGATCTGGCGGCCGATCGTTCGCGAATAGCCGCCCAGCTGAGTGCGGTACTATCTAGTTTTTATAGGGCATGCACCATATAATTTGGAGTCGAACCTTATTTTTCATTTTTTATCTATTTATAAAAAAAATTATTAATGATTTTATAAAAATATGTCGTGAACTTTCTTATTTAACTTGCTTTTAAAGGCCCCCTATTTATATTAATTGCCATAACAAAATCTATACTAATTAGAAAAAGAATTCGCTAAGAACTAAGCTTCAACAAAATGTAACCATCATTGTATGAGAGTTGAAAATTGAATCTGAGGTTCTGGAACTGGTGCTACAGAAATCGCTTTCAACAAAATGGAAATTTGTATACATATTTAGTTAAGAGATTTTTGCAGTTGGGCTGCAGGAACTGTGATAGCAATAATTGACTTGCATAAAGCCAAGGGTGTAATAATCAACTTATAGGCAACACCCTTTGGAAAATGCAATGACTGCTCAGGGACTAGAGCTGATAAGGCTTATCGTCGAACAAAGCAGTGGGTGGGAAGTACTCTGGGGGAACTTAAAGGCCCCGAGAACCCCGTCGGATTACTCAATGAATATAGGCGATGTTTGGGATTATAGCGAAAGTGCTATTAATGTCTTTGGGGCTCTCTTTCATTTCGCCAGCTCTCTATTTGTGGGAATGAATGACTATTTTTATGAGGCTGCTGCCGCCGTTGCAATTGCTGCAATGAGACATCGACATCCTGGCCACTGGCGCCATGCCGAAGAATATTTATTTAAATTTGGGGAAGGGGCTAAGGGTCACAGGCTGCCTTCGTTTGCGCAACACCTCGGTGGGCGGTGGTCGGTGGGCGGGGCGATCGGTCAAGGCTTTGCTGTGGAACGTGACACGCATATGTTGGCTTGGGTTGGCCCCAAAAGTGGCCCCAAATGGCTGTCCTTCGGGCTGGGAAATTAGTCCTTAGCGGGGCGCGTCCATATGTCGCAAAATTCGAGGGGCGCCTTGTTTTCTTCTCTCTCTATTTGTGTTTGTGTGTGTGTACCTCCATCTCACTCACCTCAAGTGTGTGAAAATACTGCGGTATACGGTTTTGTTCGTGTGTATAGGTGTTGCGGGGGGATTGCGGCGTTTTCTTCACAATTATCCCACTCCTCTGATCCTGATCCTGCTGCGCTGCTCCTGCGTCCTGGCTTCCTCTCGGTGCACTTTAAATCCGGTTAAAAAGAGGCTCGACGGATCATTTTTCTAAATGTTTTTTGTTGTTCGGCTGCGGCTGCTTTGCCAGAGTTGCTCGCTCCAGTGTGACTAAGCATCGCAGCTGCCAAAATGCCAAGCCCAGATATGCATTTTTGGGTTAACGTACTAAGGTCACACTGGCAAAGTGTACATTTTTGTATTTTTTATCAGTGTTGTCGTACAACTTCTGAAAAGCCCCTGTATTATAATGGAATATATATTTAAATATAATTTCTTTTTATATTTTATTTTTGCAAGATGGAATAGTTATAAGTTCCCAATAAAGCCGAATTGGTTTATTATTTGATTAATGGGGAAAATCATTTTACAGGAATATTTTAAATGTTTAAAACTAATGTTGTCAAATAATGTGTAAACTAATTAAAGACTAGAACAACTTTGAATTACAATCTTCATAAAACGGGGTCATAGCGAATTTTTGACTTGACATCTTTTCCCGCTAAAAATAGCCTTAAATAGCTAGAACTTGGTGTACCATCTCCAACACTCTAGACCTATCGGCAATCGGCATTCGAGATGCAACCCTAAAAGACTAGAAACATCGAGAAATTTCGACGCAGACAAAAAAAGTCTATAAAACGTCTTGTACTGTGGGCTAGCGCTCATTATCAAACAAAATAGAGAACGAAAAAGAGGGTGTGTTTTCAGTGCGCAAGCCACATTGAGTGGATAAAGAAAACGAAAAGAACAATTGAATCAATTGCGAGTAGAACGTCATAAATATTTCAAGAACATTGCCCCGTGAAATTATAAATAGTGGATTGTGAAAATCAGCAGCAATTGCACTTTGCCGTTGCATTAAGCATTTTTGGATTGTAAAGCGGATTTTTATAGATTTTGAGGTGAGTTAGAATTAGCATATTGTCAAGTATTGTAAATACATGTGGGCCGCCTTGTGTGGGCAGGGAGCATCGATCTGATCAGCTCCACACACGGGAGCATTCGGAATCCACGGACTACGTCACTCGCATGACAACACGGCAGTTGCACAACGTGTGCTTTCTAGCAATTTCCACCGAAAGCAAAGCAATCGGCACAGCCCGGCAATCAGTGTTCATTCTAATCTAAAAACGTTCTCCCTATTATTATTTCAGCTGTGAAAACCCAAACTAAGATGGCCAAGGACTTCTACAAGATTCTGGGCATCGACCGCAAGGCCACGGATGATGAGATCAAGAAGGCCTATCGCAAACTAGCCTTAAAGTACCATCCCGACAAGAACAAGAGCCCGCAGGCGGAGGAGCGCTTCAAGGAGATTGCCGAGGCCTACGAGGTTCTCTCGGACAAGAAGAAGCGGGATATATTCGACAAGTACGGAGAGGATGGCCTGAAGGGCGGCATGCCCGGACCAGATGGCAATAGCCAGCAGGGAGCCTACAGCTACCAGTTCCACGGCGATCCAAGGGCCACCTTTGCCCAGTTCTTCGGCTCTTCGGATCCTTTTGGCGTCTTCTTTGGCGGCGGCGACAACATGTTTGGCACCGGCCAAGGCGGCAACACCAACGAGATCTTCATGAACATCGGCGGCGAAGATATGTTTGGAGGCGGCGGTTTTGCGGCCAATCCTATGGCCGGTGCCTTCCGCTCGCAGTCCTTCAATGCCCAGGCTCCCAGCCGCAAGCGCCAGCAGCAGCAGGATCCGCCCATCGAGCATGATCTGTATGTTACTTTGGAGGAAGTAGACAGGGGCTGCACCAAGAAGATGAAGATCTCACGCATGGCCATGGGCAATGCGGGTCCACACAAGGAGGAGAAGGTACTGAGCATCACAGTAAAGCCAGGCTGGAAGGCCGGCACCAAGATCACCTTTCCCAAAGAGGGCGATGCGGCGCCCAACAAGATACCGGCTGACATCATCTTCATTATACGCGACAAGCCGCATGCGCAGTTCAAGCGCGAGGGCATCGATCTGAAGTACACCGCCCAGGTCAGTCTGAAACAGGCCTTGTGCGGAGCACCAGTTAGTGTGCCCACGCTGCAGGGCGATCGGATTCCGGTTAACTCCAACAACGAGATCATCAAGCCCACCACCACCAGGAGAATCAGTGGACGGGGTCTGCCCGTGCCCAAGGAGCCTTCGAGACGCGGCGACCTGATCGTGTCCTTCGACATCAAGTTCCCCGACACACTGCCGCCCAGTCTGCGAAACCAGCTGGCCGAGCTGCTGCCCAACTAGGCGGGAGTATGTGCCACACACTATTGTTATCAGTTTAGTTAAGGCCTAAATATTTAGTTTTACCGTACGTACTCGTAAGACACCTAACCAATTGTAGACCGAAGTTAGTGAGTGTGCCAAGCGAACAGCTGTAGATATGGCCGAGGATGCAGACACTAGATAAGATAGGGAAGAGAACACACAGAGAGCCCGTTTTGTGTTGGAGACTGATCGACTATTGACTATTATACCCTAGTACACACCAATTCCATAATTATTTTTGTTTACCGCCGCCTCAGCCGGGGAATAACATCTTATATTTATTTATCCAAATAATTCAGCATAAGAAATAAAGAAAAAGGTATTATAAATTAAAAGTAACTCACGATTTTTGAGGCGAGGCACAGCTCCGGCATTCCAATTCCAACACGGGAGGTTATATCAGTTTTAAAATAATACTTCTAGTTTGATATGCAGTAGATCATAGTACGTTTTAGTACCAGTTTTATTAAGTTCAACAATAAAATTATTTATATCAGTATCGTGTGCTTATTTTGGAACAGCGGGTGGTATCGATGATGGGAAAGTGATTACTCTTGATGTTGCTTGTGGTGTCGAAGCAGCCAAAAGCAAAAAACATTTATAATTATGGCGATTTCCTTTTTTCAAAAGAAAAGGCGCGCTAACTTATTTAAAAGTCTACATATAGTCCAGAATCGTTGAAAAAGACGCCACCTAGCGTGTAGAGTTTAGTGTTAGCATGTCTTGTTTTTGAGATGGTCTGGCAACATACATTTTGTAAATGTCAAGAAACTAGCAAAAGCCGATTATTTTCCTTGGAAAAACAACTTAACACTGAAAAAAATTGTGTGAGTCGCCCCTTCATGGGGCAACGCTGGATGGGCATTGGTTTTGTTTTTACTATTTAAAACTTTAATAAATAAACGTAAGTTTTTGAAATAAAAAGGTTCAGTTTATTGATGGAGCATATTTTTAGAAACCCAAAAAAATGGTTCGACTTAATGATCGGTACCCCTTTTAAACCTGAAACCCCAAAAAGTTCAGAAGTAAAAGTCATAAGATGTTGGTTTCTTTTTTAAATTTCACATTTTATTTTCTTTTGTTTTCACTTCAAAAGGATTTCGTAATTTAATCATTTGTCACACATTTTCACTATCCTTATGTTGAGTGTTAAGTTGCATTTGCAATTGTATAATCATTGTGTATTTCTTTTTCTTTACTTTTGCATATTTTTTGTTTTTTGTTCTCAAAAAGTATTAACATTCATTGCATGTTTTTTTTTTATATTTGTGTTGTTCTTGTTGCAGCTGCTTTTTAAGTTTTACAATAAAAATTGAATTTTAATGTTCGTTTCTTGCTGTTTTCCATTGTTAATGGCTACACTTGTTTCCAATGCTGCTGCAGTTGCTATTGTTTATTGTTTCGAATTTGGATTTCGTGTGGCTGACTTATAAATTGTATTTAATATGCAATTGTTACCCTCGTGTATCCTGCTGCCTTGCTGTTGCCAAAAGGAAAGTGTGATAAGAGATAACTAACAATACGCTCAAACAAATCAAATATCCGATAACAATTTGTTAAAAGAGATTCCAGTGCGTCGTGTGCACGTGAACTTAATTAAATGAGTACATTGTTTGTCTCTCAAACATTCGTATAATAGTGACTATGTATATATATTTAATAAAAATGCTTTAAAAATAGTCAAATGCGTACAAAAAGTTTCACGCCACGTTCATTCGCCATCAAATGAGTTTCATAATTTAACTATTTCATTTCGCTAAAGTCTTCCAACTGACTGTTCCGTCTCTGGTTGAGTTGTGGTTTTATTATTAATTATTATTTACTTTGCCTCTGTCAAACTTATACAAACTGTAAAAATTATGTTAAAATGTTGTGATTTGGTATTTGGTAAATTTCTCCTTGTTTGTCCCGTGTTTGATTAGCTTTCATCTTCGAAGATGAAGATCTATCATTAGACTGTTGTATACATTTAGAATTTCTATTTACTCCACTTCTTATAGCTTTCTATGGTCTGTAGTTTCAATTATTACTTTCTTTTTTATTTTATTTTCATCGTTTAATTAAAGTTTACTTTTGTATATTTAATTCAATTTGATTGGAAACCTAAAAAATGTTTTGATTATGTTTCGATTTGTTGCTACATGGTTCCATGGGATTTAGGGGGTAAAAAAATGAATGAGTTATCCTGTGAATGAAGGTGAACAATGCCTGCAAGTACACTGAAAAAAACCATTGACAATCGCCACTCGCACGAACAGTGTACGGCCGGAAGAATAAACAAACGTTCAGCAATTGGGGATTTCATTGTTCCTGAATCGAATTAACATCCAAGCTGCATTCACAACCAATTAATTATTATTTCCCATTTGGTAGAATTTTCATTGTATTTGACTATATATTTTTATTTTTTTTGCTAAAAATTCGTCCTACAAAAATTGAAAACCATATGGTATTGAGACGTAGGGAAATCAAAAGTATTTTTAATTAAGTTCTCAAAAATTGTGCCTTTGTCTATGGGGTTTCTGGGCTGGGGATAGGTTTCCTTTGTTTAACTATAATTCTGTTGTCATCGTTTCTCGATTCTTAAAGTGTTCAAAGTGAAGTTCTTAATTATTATTGTAATTCTGCTAGAAGGTGTCGTCTTTTTTTGGTTTGTGTTGGTTTTCTTTACGCTTATATATTTTCTTTTATTTTTTCTCTTGCATAGTTTTATAATTTTATTTTAATGTTTGCCCGCTTTAACGTGTTGAGTTTGCTTTGCTTTGAGTTAATTTTTGGTTTCTTGTTTTTTGCTGATTGGATTCTTTGTGGAGGTCCGGAGACCAATTATATTGCATGGAATCGCTTGCGATTTTCGCTTCATTATTATTTCCTCTTTTTAATTTACGATTTAACATTTTGACTAATTTTTTGCTATTTTTCGTTTATGTGTATGTGGATTTTGTATGGTATTTTTATGTATTTTTTCAGTGTACTTCCTACAAACTAAACATTTTCATTGCTGCTTTCATTTTTAATTTTCTCATTACGATTAGGAGTGTGTTGATTTGCTTCAGTATGTGTGGCTTAATTGGCTAAAACGTTTTTCATTTAACCCTTTTTGGTTTTACTTATTTTGCATTTGACATTGTTTTCTTTTTTGTTGCAATTCTCTGGGGTTCTTTTGTTTAGTGTTTTACTTTTATAATTTAAATTCTCTAATCCTAAATATAATGTTTGCAATTTGTTTACGGGTTTTCCTCCTCTTCGCCTTGACAGCTTCGTCACCATCTTCTTCTCAATAAATGTATTTAAATCGAAATTTACTTTCAAGTCTTTTCAGCGACAAATGCATTTGAATTTGTTCTCGTATTTCTTAATCTTGTTTAATCTTTTTCCTTAGTTCATATTAAATCTGCTCAAAATCCTTCGCTTTAATTATGCTTTTATTATATGTTTTGCACTTTAAATACAATCAATATAAATCAAAGTCTTCTCTTGGTTTTAATTTATGTTTAAGTTTTTCTTTCTAAAAAGGATCTCTCGTACCCTTTTTGTGGTGCATCTCTCGTTAAAAACGTAAACGTAAACGTAAAAATGACAAAAAACTCTTCGATGTTTTATCCATTAAAAAAGAGGGGAAACAAACCGAAGCCAAGCATTCTTCAAAAGCCAACCACATCCATTCACCGATGGCCGGTGATTCAATGCATCGTCATTTCGCAGCGTTGAGCTTGAAAAATGCTTTTGGGTTCGCCTCGCCTGCTTTGAACTTTGAACTGTTGCTGTTGCTTTCGCTTTGCTCTTGCTTTTAGCTGTTTCTGTTGCTGTTGCCTTACACTTGATTAGTTAAAATTGAGAAATCGAACAGAGGAATTGAAGTTGTGGGTTAAGAGCTCTTATGCTTGCTTAGCTTGATACTAAATGTTTTGCTTTGCTTTTTCTGATTTAATTTTTCACATCGTCTTTGCGGGTTGTTGACTGTGGATCTGTGCCTAAATTTATCATGTCTCGTGGTTTCCACACCGGGGACCCTACAATTAAATGAAAGAAAAGAAAAGATACAATGGAAACCATATATGAAAAAATATGAAATATTTTCGTTTTGGTTTTGCAGAACTTAATTTGTAGTTTCGTTTTTAAATTCAGATAGAAAATATAGATTTAGAGAGCGAAAGAGTTAGAAAGAGCAAGTGGGGCGGAGTAGCAACTCCATTTGGTTATATACAATTGTGTCGAACAGATTTTCATAAGTAAATTGTGGCCAATTCGGATTCGTTAAGTTAAAAAACATGCATGCAAAGTGCCCAAAGTGGCCGAACACTTTCGGACAGACACCTTGGGCGCTTTTTTGGTTAAAAAATATAAGCAAAACTAATTATTGTTTAATGTAATGAGCACTACTCCAAGCGGGGTTCGCTACTTGATATAGTTTTGGGGACTGGGTCTGGGTAGTGGGAGTGATTAACAGCTAATTCAACAACTAATACTGGTGATTAAGGGGTTTTGGGTAGAGTTCTGTTGGCTAAAATGTTGACATCGCTTGGTTCATTTTCTAGTTTACATACATTTTTGATTGTTTAGTTTAGCTTTTCAACTATGGCAAGTGACTTGGCAAATTTTCGAATTTCAGATCAAAAGTTTTGCATTTTATGCCAACATTTTCCGTTCTGCCTCTTCTGTTTCTCGTGTGTCTTGATAAAGGGCTCCAATTCGGTATACAAAATGAAAGGGGAAAATTTATGTACATATATGGGGTGAAAAGGGGAGTTTATAATTTGGAAAATTGTGGTGAAGAGAGTGGTAAAATTGAAATTGTTTCGCATTTCAGTTAACCCACTTGCTAATTTCGAATTTAGTTTTCCAAATGCAAAAGTCAAAGAGCGTGATTCAAAAACGATGGATAAAGTTGTGCATAGATGAGAGTTTCATAAAATTCAATTTCATTTAATTTTATTTAGTTTGGCACACAAAAAGTTGTACGAAAACAGAAAATTAAATTTCTGGAAAATAATTGCGTTTCTGTGTGTGAAAAAATGCCGAATAAATTCTGGATTCTGGGGTGGGGGGGAGAAGTGGAGTGGCTGGTGGCTGGTTGAGTTGTGGGGCACGTGTGTGTAACCATAAGACATATATAGTTAGATAAATATATATAGATCGATTATAATGGACTTGGCATTAGCATTGCTCTCTTTCGGTTGGCATGGCATTCAGCAGTACAAGATTTGGCTCTAGATCTTCGGCACACTCTGACATTTGTCGTGTTTGAGATTTGATTGAGAAAATGCAAAACGTTTTAATTGAAAAGGAAAACTTGCAAAGTTCATCGATTTAAATTACGATTTTTGTTTTATCAGGTAAGTTGTTTGTTAATCAAGCGATGCCAACTAATAATATCAAGTGTTTGTAACAGACACAACAGATACACAGATACGCTATAAAGAGATACACACAAATGCATCGAATGGGCGGGAAATAAAACCTAGAAACTTAACATGCCTAAGGTAACTCCAATTCTGA